TCCTAGGTACCATTCTGGGTCCTGGGAGATTCAGTGATGAACAAAATAGACAAGACACCTGACCTTACAGAATTTAAATTATAGTTGAGGAGACAGACAAGAAACTAGTAATTAAATTAACATAACATAATTTTATGTAGCAGTGAGGGCTATGAAGATGTTAATAAAGAATTCTGGGATGGAGAGAGAGTGGGAGCATGTTAACTAGGCTGATCATGGACGTGCTCTCTGGGGGAAGTAACACTGGATGCTTGAATGCTGCAAGGAAGCCAGCCATGTAACTATTTGGGGAAAGAGGCTTCTAAGCAGAGAGAGCAGCAAATGCAAAGATTCTGGGATTGAAAGGGGGCATTTCCAGGAGGGCCAGTGAGGCTAGGTGAAGGGAAGGAGTCAGGGGGTAGTGGGATTAGTGGTCAGTGGAGCATGGGGGTGGGCTTGCATCACGTAAGGCCCATGGTAAGGGGCTAGGATTTTACTATGAGCTTGATGGCAAGCCACTGGGAGGTTTGGAGCAGGGGGCCAATGCAGCTGATGTGGCAGCTTAGTGTGAACAAAAAGTATATAAAATATATCATTAATATTATTTATAGGGATTGTATGTTGAAATAATCATAAATGGTGATTATATTGGGTTAAATAATGCATATTATTAAATGCAGTTTCACCTGTTTCCTTTTTTTCTTGTTAAAAATGTAGCTATTAGAAAATTGAAAATATGTGGCTTGCAATTCTGCTCACGTTAACATTTCTGTTTAATGGTGAGGGTCTAGGAAGTGATTTTAGACCAAATAAGGGAGCCAAAGTCAGAGCCCTGCAGTGCTACAAAATCAGGGAAGGGGGAGAAGTCCAGCAAAGGCGACCCAGAAGGAACAGCCAATAAGGTAGGAGGAAAATTAAGGGAGTGTGGTGTTCTGGAAGGCACGTGATAAAATTATTCAAAAAGAAGGGCGTGACCAATCACGTCAGATGCTGCTGAAAGTTAAAGTAACTGGGAATTCAACAAGCGCAGTGTTGGTGGAATTGCTTGGAAGCAGTTCAGCTTGGAAGCCTGATTGGAGAGCTCATGAGAATAGAGAGTGAGGACATAGAGGCAGTAAGTATAGATAACTCTTTAAAGAGTTTTACTTTAAAGAATGCAGACGAATGAATGGTAACAGCAAGAGGATTTGAACTCAAGGGGAAATTGTGTGTTTTGCTGTAGTTGCTGGGTTGTTTAGGAGGGGAGATAGTTCCACATGTCCAGTTGGATTGCTGATGGTGGTGGTGTCAATAGAGTGCCTGCTAAAAGCCTCAGGGCTTTTAGGATTTGGTTGAGGAAATAAGGCAAGTATGCTACAAAGAATTTCAGACAGGGCAGCCTAAGCTCAAGGGTTAAATGCAATGATTCTATTAGTGCTCTATAAGTTCAGATGCAGGCAAGATGACCACTTTCTTTGTTCTCCCTCTTATTTCATATATTTCTCTTTAGTGTTCTTTTTTCCCCCTTTCTATCTTCTACCCCTGACAGTGGTAGGTCAAGGGCAATGTTAGCCTACCATGACCTGACATTTTGGTTAATGTCTAAAAAGGCTTCTATAGTGGCAGGGGTCGGGGGTGCTGCTGTGTTATTAAGTTGACCAGGAACTTAGCAGTGACATGAATGCCTCCTGTTCTCCCTCTGAATTTCCTAAGAGCTTTCAATTTTTTTTTGAGACAGGTTCTCACTCTGTCACCCTGGCTGGAGTGCAGTGGCATGATCATGGCTCACCGCAGCCTCAACCTCCCAGGCTCAAGCAATCCTCCCACCTCAGCTTCCTGAGTAGCTGGGATTATAGGCATGCACCACCATTTCCAGCTAATTTGTTTTGTATTTTTTGTAGAGACTGGGCTTTGCCATATTGCCCAGGCTGGTCTCGAAGCCCTGGGCTCAAGCGATCCACCTACCTTGGCCTTCCAAAGTGTTGGAGTTACAGGTGTGAGCCACTGCGCCCGGTCAGATGTTGAATTTTCCTACCTCTGCTCCTGCCACATCTCCATATCTTGGAAAACTAGCAGAGACGGGAATGCTAGAGGGAGAGCCATTCATTCTAGGACAATGCATTGGTGTGGGCTCTCGAAAGGCGGCATGGTTATGGAGTGGAGAGGGTGTGTGTATGCATGTGTCCCTGTGTGTGTGGAGGGGGATAATTACTGATCACTGTGAGGGCCTGGGACTCAGTCATCTTTAGGCAGAATGGTAATATTAACTCCTAAAGGTTGAGTGACTTAAAGTATCAATACCTTCCAGCCAGGAACATACCTGTAGTTGAACATATTGGGTTTATTACTTGTGGCAGTGAGGGAGAATACACGTTGTGGGGAACCACAGGGCATCTTGGTAAGTGGGTCTGAAGCAATCTTGTTAGCAGTCTTATCAGTTCTCATGGTGGTTTGGAACCTTTTGTTCTCCAAAGCCTCAGTCAATCTGGCTATGTGAACTCTCAAGTTCTCCTTAGCCTTAGAGCCTGTGGTCACCACCCGTGCCCTCCCCCAACCTCTGGAGATGCACCAGGGGTTTACAGCTAGAAAGCAGGACAGGATGGGCCTGAAGCCCACCCATGAAACAGCAATGGCAGCATCGCTATGTCTGGGAACAGTGCAAATCTGGAGCAGGCAAGGGGGCCCTAGAATCTATTTAACCCCACTTTACAATAGTTCATTCAGTTACAGCAAGACCTCAAGGAGAGTAATCATAGAAGCAAAGTCTCTGCTTGCCTTTCTACAGCCTTCCGGCATGGATGAATATAGCACACTTTTTCTTTCTCTGGGTTATGGAACTCATCAGATCTCCCCTGCGCTCCCCTCCACCCACAAACTTTCATCAAGAATGTCAGCCTTGGGCCAGGCACAGTGGATCATGCCTGTAATCCCAGCACTTTGGGAGACCAAGGCAGGAGGATCACTTGAGTCCAGGACTAGCCTGGGCACATAGTGAGACCCCAAATAAAAAATTAAAATAAAATAAATATTAGCTGGGCATGGTGGAGCATGCCTGCAGTCCCAGCTGCTATGGAGGCTGACGTGGGAGGATCGCTTCGGCCCAGGAGGTTGAGGCTGCAGTGAGCTATAATCGTCCCACTGCATTCCAACCTGGGCAAGAGAGAAAGGCCCTGTCTCTAAAAATAATGTCAGCATTGATTTCTAAAAGTTTGATTATCAACCGTCATGATTCCTTAGAAGCATGACATAGAGTCATGGGCAAATTATCCTTTTCATGATCACTTTGGTTGTTTCCCATTTTTAACTATTTAAAACAGTACTGATACACATTCTTGTATACATATTGTTCTGTGCAAGTGTGATTATATATCTATAAGGTAATGTTTGAGAAGTGATGTTCCTGGATCAAAAGGTATGTGCATTTTAAATTTTGATAGATACTACCAAATTGCTCTTTAGAGAGTTAGAACTATTTACTCCAGAGTGTATGAGAGTCCCTATCTTTCCCACCTTGGTCAGCAATGTGATACCATCCAAATTAAGGTTTTTGACAATCTGATAAATGACAATATTCATTTGATATGTTGACTTCTATGTCTTTAATTATTAAAAGGATGGAGCCTGTTCATATGTGATTATTTGTATTTCTTTTTCTGTTAACTGCTTCCTATTCTTTGTCCCTTTTAGACCAAGTTGTTTGTCTTTTATTGATTTATATGAGCTCTTTATAAATTAAGAAATTTGGCCCCTGTATCTATCATGTTTGTTGCTAGTATTATTTCCTAGTTTGTCATTCTTTTATTGACTTATTTTTTTGGCCATAAGTTTTACTTTTTTTTTTTTTGAGACAGAGTCTAGAGCTGTTACTCAGACTGGAGTGCAATGTCGTGATCATGGCTGATTACAGCCTCAATCTCCTGGGTTCAAGTGATCCCCCCACTTCAGCCTCCCTAGTAGCTGTGACTACAGACACATGCCACCATTCCCAGCTATTAATTTTTTTTGTGTAGTAATGAGGTCTTGCTATGTTGCCCAGCCTCAACTCAAACTCCTGGGCTCAAGTGATCCTCCTGCCTTTGCTCCCCAAAGAGCTGGGATAACAGGCATGAGCCACTGTACCTGGCCTGAAATTTTTATGCAGTCAGATGTTTCAGTCTTTTCTTTATGTCTCTGCATATTTATCAAAACAATTTTGTCTCCCTGGGCACACCCATGAATAGTAATAGGCATCCAAAGCTAATGGGACGCAACACAAAACAAAAGATCTGGTTTTTTGCATTTATCTTTTTTTTTGGTAGCAGCTTTATTGAGATATAATTCGCATACTATATAAGTCACCTATTTAAGGTATACAACTCAATGCTTTTTAATATAGTCACAAATCTGTGCAATCATCACCACAATCAGTTTTAGGACATTTTCATCATCTCAAAAAGAAACCTTATCATGTAATCATAAGGATCATGGGATCATGCCTGTAATCCCAGGACTTTGGGAGGCCAAGGTGGGAGGATTGCTTGGGCCCAGGAGTTCTAGTTCAACATAGCAAGACTCCATCTCTATTAAAGGTTCAAAAATTAGTTGGGTATGGTGCCATGCGCCTGTCGTTTCAACTACTTGGGAGACTGAGGTGGGAGTTTCGCCTGAGCCTGGGAGGTCAAGGCTGCAGTAAGCTGTGATCACACCACTGCACTCCAGCCTGCGTAACAGAGAAAGACCCTGTCTCAAAGAAAAAAGAAAGAAAGAAAAGAAACTTTGTACTCTTTACTACGCTCCCCCGTCAAATAAAACCCATTCTCCCAGGCCTAAGCATGACATTTTCTGTGTCTATGTATTTGCCTATCCCGGACATTTTATGTAAATGAAATCATTGTCTTTTTTAAAGGAAGGATAATTCTCTGTAATGGTAATTCCATTTGTATATGTTTTCTAGACTATTTTTAGAATATAACTGAAGGATAAGGGGTAGGGTGATAGGATTGCATTACACCCTGAATATCAAATGATGATCTTCTGCTTTTTGGCTTTGTATTTTATTTTAGTAATCCCACGATGGCTGAATCACCCAGTGAAATTTCTGACAGTCTGGATGTTCTTGAGGCTGGTGATGAGGGTAAGTAACCCAATAAAACCCTGATAATCAGAACTAGATTTGTTTACTGTGTTTATTTAGCTCTTAGGACAAAGAAGCAAGGCATAAGAAAACAAGCTCAGATCATTAGACTCAGTCACGTTTACTTCTCAGTTTTCTAATTTCTTCTTTGTCACTTCCAACTCTGATAGTCAAAGATTTGTCTGAGGTCCTGCAATCTTCCCTGAAAATGGCTACCAGGTTTTACTTCCCTGAAAATGGCTACCAGGTACTTACTTACCTTCTGATGAAGGCTTTTCCTGCTTCATCAGAATAAAATACAATCAGAACAGACATGATCTGACAAATTCAACTGAGGTTTTACTGTAATTCAGACCTAAGCAAGAGATTAATTTGTTGAGGAGTAAAAGGAGATAGAAACAAAAGATGCCACCACAGGAAATAGGATTCAATTTACAAAAATTCTCTTTGGCAAAACTTACTCATGTATCCATTGCCTAAATTGTGGCACCATCTGTGAGTGATAGGTGATTATGAATGAAAAAATTAGAAAGGGAGGCAAATGTCACTAAACAATGATAAGCTTTACACACACACACACATACTAAATAAATGAATAAATAAACAAGAAATCGTAATTCGGAATGTGAGGCATTGAGTTTGAAGACAGAATTGAATTTAACAGTTAATTGGGTTGTTCTTCCATTCTTTTGCTGAGTTTTCTTTAGTGGTGTATGGTACAGAAAACTCTGGAAAAACAGAGGGGAACCTCCTTGTGGCTTCCTAGGGGCCTGACTTTACACATGATGTGGGGCAGGGGATGCTGAACACCTGATCATGGATTCTTAATGGCAGTGCTTGGGTCTGTTTTATCTCTGTGTTATCACTGTTGTGTGTGTGTGTGTGCGCGCGTGTGTGTGTGTGTGTGTGAGAGAGAGAGAGAGAGAGAGAGACAGAGAGAGAGAGATTGAGATTAGGCACTCCAAAATATTTCATAAATGAGTGAATAAATAAATGAGTGAAAGGCCTCCTCACCAAGGCAGACCCAACTACCGAACCAGTTGACCTATCTTTCTGGATGTGAACTAAGCAGATGCCTACAAAAGAAGGTGGCAGTGCAGTACATCTTGATGAAGAATGGTGGTAAGGAAATGCCTTTTCTCTGTTCTCAAGGTTTTTTTTGTAAGACCGAATATTTGAGTACGGTTTTAGAACTAGTCAGGGCTGGCCAGAGAATAAAGTGGCTGTTGGGAGGTATGGGAAGAAAGTTTAGTTAGAAATGTTTTCTTTCCAGCTGAGTGTGGTGGATCACACCTGTAATCCCAGTACTTTGGGAGGCCAAGGTGGGTGGATTACTTGAGATCAGGAATTCGAGACCAGCCTGGCCAACATGGTGAACTCCTGTCTCTACTAAAAATATTTTTAAAAATTTGAGTGTGGTGGCAGGCGCCTGCAGCTCCAGCTACTCGGGAGGCTGAGGCAAAAGAATCACTTGAACCCAGGAGGTGGAGGTTGCAGTGAGCTGAGATCGCACCACTGCACTCCAGCCTGGGTGACAGAGCAAGAATTCGTCTCAAAAACCAAAGAAAATGTTTTCTTTCCAAGCAGCAATGCAAGAGAACAAGGTCATCATTATGTGATACATTTTAAAGGCTCATTCAGTTCATTTCAGATGGGCTGCATGCATGCATGGTGGATAAGTAAATATACAACCCAGAGGCAAACATTTCTTCATTAGATTTAGCTGTGTTTTCTTCTCTGGGGAAAAAGCTGCTTCAATGAGCTGTTTTCTGGCACGTGACACACTGCAGACCCTGACTGGATGAGGATGTTGAAAGCTACTTGCTGTTTGGGAATGCATAGTCTTTCGTATTGGACAGGGAACTCAGTAGCTTTGTTATAGGAGAAGTCCAGACAACTGTCAGCTCACTGACTGCAACTGCTGTACCCTGTGGTGCCATAAGTTACCCAGTGTATAGGTGACCTATATAAACATTGCTGGATACAAATGTGAGTTCTGACCCATACCTGCTGTCTAGATCTCTCTACCGTTTGTGCTTTTTGTAGCTTTTGAAAACCAGCCTGTGTAGGGCTCAGCTGCCAGCAATTTAAAGGTGCTCCCCCCACTTTAAAAAAGAAAGCTTGAAAGGCCAATTTATACACTTGAATATATGGCAGCCATCTCAGGTTCCACTAGCGTTTCAAAAGTAACACATCATGTGGACAGTACCCAGCTTTGTATCTCATTCCCACGGCTGAGACCAGGGCTTGTCTCCATACATGGGATAGTGGGGGCAATGGGGTGGGGGTGTCGGATGCCGTTGGGTTAGGGAGATCTTCTAATGGAAAGCTGGCTGAAGACATAGACCCTTGCTACTGAGATTGTATGTCTGGCAGTGGGTTGTCACAAAGGTCATATCCAGCTGACCTAGAGCAATAGCAGCCAACCCACCGTGTTTGGCAGTTACCATCTCTTTGTGTGTGCCTCCCTAGCTCCCTGCTAACGAAGCTAACAAAGCACCACCACACTCAGAGCCGCCCTACAGGATGGAACGGAAACATTCTTTTCCTTCTAGGGCCTATGGTTAAAAGAGACACGTGTTGCTTTAGCTATTTTTGAATCTTTGTGGGAAAATGATTGTTGATTCTGGCCAGAAAAGAACGGAAAATTTGGGGGAAATTGGACCATATGCATATATGCATACTTTTAGCACCTGTTACAGTTCCAACATCACTAGTCATTTTGTTAATTTAGGAACATAAAAATGTGTTAATGTAGAATTTTCTACTCATACAATGATTATGTTTGTTGAATTCATTATTACAGCCTAAAGAGTTTATTAGACATGTTTTTATGCAGTTATTCAGTGTTTATAGATTGTATCACAAATGAAGTTACTAGCTGCTGACTCTCTTTTCTGTCTTTGCTGGATTTTTTGGAGTTTGCAACTCCAATTTCCCTAGCTGTGCTTTCCTCCCTTCCACTAAGGGATTTTGAAGCAAGAGAGGCAACAATTGCTGTGTTTCTAAATCTTCTGAGCATAAAGTTCTTCCCCTTTCAGAAGGCAAGAATGAGATCCACCTGTCAAGAATCAATAAATCGTCTGGGCACAGTAGCTCACACCTGTAATCCTAGCACTTTGGGAGGCAGAGGTGGAAGGATGTCACTCTATTGCCCAGGTGGGAGTATTGTCATAGCTCACTGCAGCTTCGACTTCCTGGGCTCAAGCAATCCCCCTGCCTCAGCCTCCTGAGTAGCTGGGAGTACAGGAACTCACCACCATCCCCAGCTATTTTTTTTTAAATTTTCAATAGAGATGAGGTCTGGCTATATTGATCAGGCTGGCCTCGAACTCAAGAGCTCAAGCAATCCTCCTGCCTTGGCTTCCCAAAGTGCTGGGATTACAGGTGTGAGCCACTGTGCTCAGCCTTAATTATTTTATTATTGTAGAAATTAAATATTTTTCTGAAAAAAATTTAAAAGGGATCTTGGGGAAAAGATATGTTTCCTATTGCTTTTTCATTTTTTATTCTTTCTCTCTTTAGGTAGAATTGCCAAGTTTTCCCAACCATGCCCCTATACAGGTGCATTCTAGTAGACAAGAAATTGCCCAAATCATCCAAAACAGAAATTACTTAAGCAGCAATTATCAAGCAAACAGTCCTAGGATCTTTCATTGCTCTACTCCATGCTGGCTTCTGCCTCCAATTATGCATATTATACAGTTCACTATTCAGTTATAGATATGGGGCTGCTTCTGATGACCACAGATAGAATTGAATCCGGCCCTAATAAGCAAGTAATTATTGAATCCCTGACACTAGTTCACATTTATTGAGCACTTACTACATGCCAGGTCACATGCTAAGCTCCTTACCTATGTCATTTACAATTTGCATCAACCCCTATAAGGGCCAGTGTTTAAATTATAGGTTGCTGAAGGATGACTCTGCTCAGTGGTCTCAAGTCAAAGAAAGTGACAAGCTGTGTCGGTATTCTTCATCCCCCAGTGGACACAGCTGTTACTGCACACCTTGCACTGTGCTAGTTGCTAAGCGGGGATGCTAAGAGGGGCCTGCCTACAGCCTTAAGGTGGGGGCAGTAGCTAAGACATAGGGAACTATATCTTAGTTCTTTCTCACTGATACCCAGAACATGATAAGTTCTTAACCTTCATAAATATTTGTTGAGAAGATGAATGAACAAATGAATGAGTGAGCAGGCTAAGAACATTCAGATGCAAAACTTGTGATGCCAACAGCCAGGTTTTAGTTGTTCAGAGAACAGAGAGAAGTTTGGGTTGCATTGATTGGTGGGAAACTGGACTTAAGGCAGGTCTTGAAGTTTAGGAACTTTTACCCTGGCAGACTCAGGATTAATCAGTGCACAAATAGGTCACAGCATTTCTGAGCTAAAGGAACTCCAGTTCAGCGTTTCCCAAAGTGTGTTTGGCCAGACATTCTGCTTACACACATTGGGAGATAATATCGTTGCCTGGTTTCTTGGAACTTCACCATATACATAAGCATTTTGAAGTTTCAGAAAAGTTTTGTTGGAAAGCAGACTACTGAACTTTGTCTAATCCAGAATTTTCCAGATTGACTGGACTACAAATCCCTTTTTCATCCAACAAACCTTATGGGCATCCCTCTGAACACACTTTGGGAGATGCTGATCAGGTGCAATCCTCTCATTTTCCTGCTGAGTACCAGAGAGGCTGAGTGACCTACTCAAGGTCACAGAGCTAATTGATAGTGGATTCAAGCCTAGGGTTCCAGAATTTTCTGACTCATGGGTGGTGGTTTCCATTATGCCATCAAGCCTTTCATGATGGCTGCTGCATTGCCAACTCCCTTGTCTGGCCCCTTCATTGCCAGCACAGAATTGGTGTGGTGATGAGGCCTTCTGGAGACCAGACAGTTGAGACTTGGAGTGAGATGCCTTAGTTGGTACTTAATGCATGCAAAATCACTAATTGCTAATTCCTTCCCTCTGAAGAATATATCACTTTTCTTCTCCGCCTTCTCCCCTTTAGTTTCTTAATAAGCACAATAAAGACATATATGCTTATTAAGAAACTAAAGAGGCCTGGCGTGGTGGCTCATGCCTGTAATCATAGCACTTTGGTAGGCCAAGGCGGGTGGATCACTTAAGGCCAAGAATTCGAGTTTGAGACCAGTCTGGGCAACATGGTGAAACCTAACCTCTACAAAAAAATTACAAAAACTAGCCAGGTGTGGTGGTTCACGCCTATGGTCCCAGCTACTGGGGACGCTGAGGTGCAAGGATCGCTTGAGCCCAGGAGATGGAAGTTGCAGTGGGCCATGATCACACCATTGCACTCCAGCCTGGGTGATAGAGTCAGGCTCTGTCTCAAAAAAAAAAAAAAAAAGAAAAGAAAAGAAAAGAAAAAGAAACAAAATCCCAGACAGCACCTTAAGAGCATTTAAAGCTCACGTTCCTCACTGCTGCCCTGGTGATTATTATAGATGGAGCAAACTCACATTTAGCTGCATGTGCAAAAGGCAGCAGCCCTGTAGATAGTATAAACCAATTGGCAAGAGTTGAAGAACACACACAATGATCATCTTTCTCACTCTCTCACTCTCTCTCTCTCTCTCCTTGAAAAATTCTTTAGTATCTGATTTTGACGTGCCTTTACACAGGCAGCTTCTTTGCCTGGGTAGCCCTTTCTTCTTTTTGATTCCCGGCCATCTCCTTTGCTCATAAATTCCTTCCTCAAGGAAGTGTTCCTGGACTGCACCAACCAACCGCACTCACTCTTTGGTCTGCATCCTTTGAGCATGCAGGCTGGGAAGTATCAACTCCCACTTGGACTTGGATTTCTGAGGGTTCTGAAGTGTTTTTCACCTGTGGAAGGTTGGCTCTCCTATTGGATTGCAATGACTCCAGCCACTGGGGTAAAATCAGGGGAATACCAAGTGCTTTCATGGGCTCAATCATTGCTTCACATGAATGAACTTCTTTTTTTTATTGCATTTTAGGTTTTGGGGTACATGTGCAGAACATGCAAGATAGTTGCATAGGTACACACGTGGCAGTGTGTTTTGCTGCCTTCCTCCCCTTCACCCACATTTGGCATTTCTCCCCTGGCTATCCCTCCCCAGCTCCCCCTGCCCGCTGTCCCTCCCCTATTCCCCCCAATAGACCCCAGTGTGTAGTACTCCCTTCCCTGTGTCCATGTGAACTTCTTAGGACAAAGAAAGAGGTTGGTATGTTAATAGCTGAAATTGAGAGGCAAATTAATCCCTAGTGAGTTTGGCCTGAATAGAGGCTGCCCAAAGATCGCAAGCTGTGGCCTAAGCTTCTGCTTTCACCAGTAACTCAGACACTTTGTTACTGAGTTACTAAGGGGACAACTAATTAAATGAATGTTGAATGGTGCTGTGAGCATTGGGGTTGAGGCCAAGCTCTGCAAGCCACCTGGGGGGGATCATGGTCCTTGTTCTGTCATGAAGGCCCTGTTTCCTCCCTTCTACCATCACACTCTGACTCATTTTCACTTTTCACTTCCAGGAAAGAAGAAATCCAAATTTAAAGCCCTTAAGAGCTTTTTTGGTAAGAAGAAGAAAAAAGAGGCTGAAGATAGCCAGGAAGAAGAAGTTCTAGAACCGAGTTTGTCCGGAAGCAACATTAACATCTTTTCTCAGGAGCCCGTTCAGGAAAATCAACCAACTGGGGCCAGGTAAGCTCAGATGGGGTGGAGAGTGATGGTGACAGGAGAAGAGGCAGACAGTTGGATCTAGGTCATCTTTTGGCAGCTAAATCACTGGGATCACCGAGAGTCCCCACCTATAGGGGCCAGGCTTGCAGTCATTGCTAATGCAGTCATGTCAGGGGTGGGAGTGCTATTCTCTGTGTGCATATGCATGTTTGTTGTCTGAGCTGCACAGCTCAGTGGGTTGGAGCATGGCAAATGCATACCCCATTTCCCAAGAGCACTGAGTGAGAGAGTACAGATATTCAGGGAAGCCTTCCTGTCACAGCTAAAATAAGTTGAGATGTGGGGCCTGCAGCCACTGAGGAGCTGGAGGCCTGTTTGATCTAGTAAGAAGGGCTTGCATCGTTCAAGAGGCTTGGTCTGGTTTGCTTGCCTGGCTCTCAGACTACAGATCTGGCCAAGATCTCATAACGAGTGATGAAAGCCTCATATAATAAAGCTATCTAACTGGGAGTGGGTTGGGTTGTGAGCATGAAATCACTGTGTTGCTATAAAAACACACTCAAGCAAATAACCGGAATCCCTTTCTCCCTCCATCCCAGGATGCTAGGGGAAATGCTGTAGTCACAGAGGGCATAGGAAAGACTGTTTCCAGCTACCACTGCCATTACTATTCAGATATTCATCTGCAGTGCCCAAATTTCCACATCCTATTGTGCTATCTGGACACCTAGGATCCCCAGCTGTCTCTGGATCAATCAGATCCCCCTCCATGGAGTTCTACTTAGGGCTGTTCTCCTGGCCTTAAACGCCAGACTTACCTGGACTCCCCACAGAGCTCACCAGTCCTGCTATCCATTCCAACCATGCAGTCTTAAGGGAATGGGGCAGTTAGCTGACATGTTATACTGTCCTCAATACCTCCCCCAATACATTCTATAACATAATGGCCTGATAGTTATCATATATGGCTCCTTAAGAACAGCCTTCATGAGTGCATCCAGTGTGAGGACTTTTAAATCATCTTGCTGGGAGTAGGGGATATGGTTTTGGAAGAGGGGCTTATGCAGTACCTCACAGGTAATACTATTATAGCCCATCGCCTTATAGTGTTCAGTAAGACTAAGACTAACCTGCTAAACGCAGGCGGGAGTTCAGGGAGGGGCATTCAGGTTTACTATCTCTTCTAAAGTTCTACATTTCCCCCTCTTATTGTTCCTTCCTTTCCAGAAGTGTGTGCTCACATGAACCTGAAAGAGAGACAGAGACAGAGACAGAGAGAGAGAGAGGGAAGGGGGGATTTTTTTGTATGCAAGGAACATAAATTAACTCAAAGAATGTAACTTGGCTGGGTGCCATGGCTCATGCCTGTAATCCCATCACTTTGGGAGGCTGAGACGGGTGGATCACCTGGGTCAGGAGTTCGAGACAAGCCTGAGCAACATGGTGAAACCCCATCTCTACTAAAAAGACACCGAAAAAAGTAGCCAGGCGTGGTGGTGGACACCTAAAATCCCAGCTACTCGGGAGGCTGAGGCAGGAGAATCGCTTGAACCTGGGAGGTGGAGGTTGCAGTGAGCCGAGATTGTGCCATTGCACTCCAGTCTGGGGGATAAGAGAGAAACTCTGTCTTAAAAAAAACAAAAGAATATAACTTAGGGGGCCTGAAGATCACCCCTGATCTCAGTCTTTTGCTTAATGTGCTAGGGTAAGAAACCCTGGAATATGTCACCCTGGAGAAGGGAGATGAGCTTTTTTCATTCACTGAAGCAATCAATCATAATGAAACTTATGACCAGCCTTCCCCTGGCCTGTACCACAGGACCAGCATCTACTTCCAAGACTGTATTAAGCTGTATCTGATGGAATGGACAAATGCTGTTCTGTCATTTGATTTCTTAATGAGTGCTGTTGTAATAATATACTTCACTGTCCTTATTTAAGGCTGAGATTTTGTTTGAGATTTTGGATTTTTTTTTCTTTTCACCTCCAGGGAATAGATCAATGAGCACTAGATATGTTAAGTGAACAAGACTTTTGATTTCTGACAAACTTGGTCACAACTGGTGCTAATGTAATCTTTTGCTCAGGGAGGGCTTGGCACTTATAGAGCCAATTCAACAGCTTCACTCTGGTTAATGCACAGCATGGAAATGAGAGACATTCTTAAGCCCACTCATAGCCCAAGATTTCCTGTCAGTTTCTGCACACAAAGCAGGGGAGGCAAGGTAGTCACAGATGCTACACTGGTTCTGAACCTGATTTGCGTTCAGATTGCGTCTGAACCAGATCACAGAGCAGCAGAATGAAAGAGTATTATGTGTGCATACTGAGCATATGCGTGTATATAGAGATGTCTGGACATATTACTCTCTCAATGTGGAGTCAATCATATATGCCCATTAAGTGTTTATCTAGAGAGTCACAGTAATTTTCTGCTGGACTGCTGTTTTATAAAGCAGACTACATTGCCTTCAACACCAGGGCCACCTGGATAGCAGAGTTTTACAAGGAAAAGGTAAGTATGAGTTTAGTACAAAGTAGCAGACATCTCTCTCCTCTCCTCTCTTGCTGGCCCACAAACCATCTGAGAGCAGGTTCTGTTTTAATCCCCATAACATGAGATTGTCCTTATGGTGTGTCATTATCAAATATATCCATGTGAGGACCCCACAGGCTTATAATGACAGGGTGGGTGCTAGCCCCACAATGCTCAAGCTGCTACTCTAGCTACCATTTGAAGATTTTTTAAAGTGCCAACATATATGTATTGTTTTGTAATAAAGGTAATAAGTACAAAAAGGGTATTTAAACATTTTTAAATTTATTTTATCTATTTTTAAACATTTCTACTACTCTCTAAAAGAAACCATGTACCAATGAACAATTTCACCCCCAAATAACCACTAATCTACTTTCTGCCTTTATAAATTTGCTTATTCTGGATATTTGATGTAAGTAGAATCATACAAAGGTTGTTTCACCTAGCATGTTTTCACTTAGCATGCTCGTTTCACTTAGCATGTTTTCAAGAGTCATCCATGTTACAGCATGTATCAGCTTGCTTGCTTTTTTCCTTCTTTTCTTCCTTTCTTTTTCCATGTCTAATCTCATCTTTTATATACACATACACATTTTTTTCGTACCTAACGGGAATAACTTTATCATTTAAAAATTTTATGTTTCTATATAACAGCTTTATTGAAATATAATTCACATACTACAAAATTCTATCTTTTAGGGTGTGCAGCTATTACTATTACTCAATTTGAGGACATTTCATCACCCTAAAAAGAAACTCTGCACCCAGTAGCAGTCATTCTCCATTTCCCCTCTCCTCTTTCAAACTGCTGATCTGCTTTCTGCCTGTATGGATTTGCCTATTGTGAATATTTCACATGAATGCAATTATACAATATGTGGCTATTTTTGACTGGGTCTTTTACTTAGTATGTTTTCAAGGGTCATTCATATAAAATCATGCATGAAGAACTTGATTTCTTTTTTGGTAGGTAACCGTTTTATTGAGATATGATTCATATATTATACAATTAAACCACTTAAATAGTAAAATTCAAATTTTTAAAATAAATCCTCAGAGTTGTACAATCATCATCATCATAAATTTTAGAACTTTTTCATCACCTCAAAAAGAAACTCCTGTCCCCATTGACCAGTCCTCCCTATTCAACCTCCATCCCATGCCCGCCACACCCTAGAAATCACTAATCTGCTTTCTGTCTCTGTGGATTTACCTATTCTGGACATTTCACATGAATGGAATGTGATCTTTTCTTACTGGCTTCTTGTACTCAGTATGTTTTCAAGGTTCATTCATGTTGTAGCATGTATCAGAATTTTATCCTTTTTGCAACTGAATAGTAGTCCATTGCATAACTGACTATACCATATTTTATCTATTTATCAGTTAATGGATATTTGGGTTTTTTCCACCTTTTGGCTATTGTGAATAATACTGCTGTGAACATTTGTGTACAAGCTTTGGCCAGATATATGTTTTTATTTCTCTGGGGTATATACCTAGGAGTGGAATTGTTGGATCAAATGGCTGTTACATATTTAACCTTTGGAGGCACTGCTAGACTGTTTTCCAAAGTGGCTGCACCATTTTAACACCAGCAATGTATGGCGGCACCACCAGCAGTGTATGGGTGTTCCAATTTCTCCACAACCTTGCCAATGCTTGTTATTATCTGAATTGAATTTTTGATTCTAGCCATTTTAATGGGTGTGAAATGGCATCTCATTATGGTTTTGATTTGTATTTCCTTGCCAACTAGTGATGTTGAGGATCTTTTCATGTACTTGTTGGCTATTTGTATATCTTTGGAAAAGATATTTGTATAGCTTTCTTCTTTGGAGAAATGTCTACTCACATTCTTTCTTCATTTTCTAATTGGGTTAACATTTTATTATTGAATTCCTTAAGAATTCAATAATAAGAATTCCTATTAGTGAGAGAGTTCTTTATATATTTCAGATCCAAGACTCTTATCAGATGTATAATTTGCAAATATATTCTTCCATTATGTAGGTCATCTTTTCATTTCTTGCTAGTAACCTTTGATGCACAAACATTTTTAATTTTGATGAAATCCATTTGTATTAGTCTGTTCTCACTGCTATAAAGAACTACCTGAGACTGGGTACTTTATAAAGAAAAGAGGTTTAATTGACTCACAGTTCAATCATGACAGAGGGTAAGGGGAAGCAAGACATGTCTTACATGCTGGCAGTAGAGAGAGAGTGCAAGCAGGAAACTCCCACATGCTTTTAAGCTATCAGATCTCATGAGAAGTCACTATCACAAGAATAGCATGGGGGAAACTGTCCCCATGATCCAATCACCTCCCAACAGGTCCCTCCCTCAACATGTGGGGATTACAATTTGACATGAAATTTAGGTGGGGACACAGAGCCAAACCATATCACCATTTATCTATTTTTTTTTCTTCTGTTGCTTGACCCTATGTTTTCTTCTAAGAATTTTATAGTTTTGGCTCTCATATTCAGGCGTTTAATTCATTTTGAGTTAATTTTTTATCTGGTGTGAAATAAAGTCCAACTTAATTATTTTGCATGTGGTTATCCAGTTGCCCCAGCACCATCTGTTGAAGAGACTATTCTTTTATCATTGAATAGTCTTGGCACCCTTGCTGAAAATCAACCACAGATGTATAGGTTCATTTCTGAACTCTTAACTCTACTCCATTGATCTATATCTTTATGCTAGTGCTACACTCTCTTGATTACTGTAGTTTTATAGTAAGTTTTGAAATTGAAGTATAAGTTATCCAACTTTGTTCTTCTTGTTCAAGATTATTTTGGCTATTTGCGGCCCCTTGCATTTCATTATGAATTTTAAGAACAATTTTATGGAAAAAAAAAGCCAGCTGGAATTTCAGTAGGGATTGCATTGAATCTGTAGATCATTTTGTGAAGTACTGACACCTTGACAAGTTCAAGTCTTCCAATGAATGAACATGAGACTTCCTTTCATTTATTCAGGCCTTTGGCATTTTTCTCATCAGTGTCTTATGGTGTTCAGAGTATGAGCTTTGCAAATCTTTTGTTGAATTTATTTTTAAGTTTTTATTATTTTGTTGCTATTGTAAATGGAAGGGTTTTCATAATTTCATTTTCAGATTGTTCATTGCAAGTGTATAGAAATACAATTTTTATATATTTTATATATTCAACTTTGATGATTTCATTTATTAGTTCTAGTCATTTTTAGTGGATTCATTAGGAGTTTTTATATACAGAATTATGTCATCTGTGAATAGAGATAATTTCACTTCTTCCTTTGCATTCTGGATGCCATTAATTTCATTTTCTTACCTAATTTCTCTATCTGTAACCTCCCATACACTGTTGAATAGAAATGATAAGGGCAGTCATTCTTGTCTTGTTCCCAATCTTAGGGGGAATACATCCAGCCTTTCACCATGATATCAGCCGTGGTTTGTCACAGATATCTTCTATCAAGGTTGAGTGCATTCATTTATCAGGGAGGGGTGTTGAATTTTGCAAATCTTTTTTCTGCATCTATTGAAATGGTCATATAGTTTTTGTTTTTATTCTATTAATATAGTGTTTGACATTCATTGATCTTCATATGTTAAGCCAATCGTTCCTTGCAAATCCTACTTTGTCATGGTATATAATTCTCTTTATATGCTGCTGAACTGAGTTCGTGAGTTTTTTATTGAGGATTTTTGCATCTATATTCATAAGAGATATTGGTCTGTAGTTTGCTCTTCCTGTGATGTCTTTGGTTGATTTTTTTTAAGGTAAAATACATTATCACACTCCAAAAAGTCGTCTTTCATGTCTTTAGCCTTTTATTTGTTTCTGTCTTTCTCTAAATTTTCTTAACACGTAATTGTCATCAACCTGGCACCATTCCCAATCAGAAAGTATTCTCATCTGGATTTAGCAAGCTTGGGGAAGGTAGGGGCAGGTGGTATATAAGATGACTTTGAAAATAGGATAGAAATGTTGTAGGGCTCCTGTGTGAAAGAGGAAAGGATCTGATGAATGAAAGCCTCCCGTATCTGAGAAGATCTTTGATACACTTAAAAAAAACACTAGAGAGAAATTTGGGTGTGAAAGATCTTTTATAATTTTCATTGTAATAATAGCAAAACTCATGACCTTTCCTCTCATTCCCTAGAATTGCTACTATTGAATTATATACTTTAAATGGGTGAATTGTATGGTATGTAAACCATATCTCAGTAAGACTGTTACATAAAAAGGATATATGCTCATAATGTAAAAATTAAAATTATACAGAAGGACAAGAAGTAGAAAATGAAAATTTCCTTCCTGTCCCTAGTGCACCATTCCTCAGAGGGAACCACCTCCAACAATTTGTGGATATCCTTCTAGATTTTTTTTCTTTGAGTATGAACTATATATGTATGTAATATATGTATATATATTAATGGGATAATACTATTATTTTTTTGCCTATAATCTCATAGGCAGCTTTCTATGTCAATGCATATGCATCCCTGCTTTCCTTCTGAGGTATCTAGGGTATGCCATATTATGAATATACATTTGTCTTCAGTTCTCATGACCCTTGGATTGATTTTACAAGAACTTTCCTTTCTGTCCAGGGCCAAGAGTGGCATGGGGAGCAAAGCCCTATCTCATGATAGCATCTTCTTCTTGGTTCCTGAGCCTGAAAGATCAGCAAGTAAAATGAGGCCTTCTGTGGATCCCCAGAGAGGCAGACCTCAGCAGGTAATAGTGGACTCGAGCATCAGTGTCTAACTGGACCACTCTTCTGTTCCCTACTCTAACCCTGACAAAATTAAAAGGAGTGGGAACTTGTTTCTGCTTCTCAGCTAATCCTACCCCCAGAAGGCTGTTGTAAGCCTTGAATGAGAGGATGTATAAATATATAATGTGCCTATTACCTGGCACACAGTGTTGATTAGTATTTCCATATTCACTTCTCTCTTTCTTTTTATTTATTTATTTATTTTTGAGATAGGTCTCACTCTGTCACCCAGGCTAGAGTGCAGTGGCATGATCATAGCTCACTGCAGCCTCAACTTCCCAGGCTCAAGTGATCCTCACACCTCAGCTTCCCAGGTAGCTGGGATTACAGTCCTGTATCAACATGACCGGATGATTTTTTGGTACTTTTAGTGGAGACAGGGTTTCACCATGTTGCCCAGGCTGGTCTCAAACTCCTGGGCTCAAGCAACCTTCCTACCTTGGCCTCCCAAAGTGCTGGGATTACATGTGTGAGCCACCACCCCTGGCCTATATTTACTTCTCTTAACATACAATAAGAATAACTATTTTGGCAGTGACATTCTACTGTTTATATGCTGGCATACCAACCCTTAAGTTTTTCTCTCTCTCTTATACAGAGATCCCATATTTCCAGAACTCTGCCTAAACCTAAGAGTAATGTGCCTGGAGCTGTGTCTGGAGCCATGTCAGGAGCTGTGCCTCAAGATGTGCCTGCAAGTGCAGTCTGTGTTACGAGGCCCAAGATCACTGAGGTAACAAAGTGGAATCGTTCAGAGCATGGGCAGCTGAGTCAGAAACACAGATCTATGCTTGAATTCAAACTGTGCTACTTACTGGCTGTGTGACCCTTGGGCTAGTTGCTTAACTTCTCTGAGTCTTCTTTTTTTTTTCTGAGACAGAGTCTTGCTCTCTCACCAGGCTGGAGTTCAGTGGTGCAATCTCAGCTCACTGCAACCTCTGCCTCCTGGGTTCAAGCGATTCTCCTGCCTCAGCCTCCCGAGTAGCTGAGACTACAGGCGCACCACCGCACTTGGCTAATTTTTGTATTTTTAGTAGAGACAGGGTTTCAGCATGTTCGCCAGGATGGTCTCGATATCCTGACCTTGTGATCCACCCACCTCAGCCTCTCAAAGTGCTGGGATTACAGTCGTGAGCCACCGCGCCCGGCCTGAGCCTTGCTTTCCTTATCTACAGTAGATATAATATTAACATCTACCTCAAAAGGTTGTTTGTGAGGATTGAATGAAGACTTAGAGAAGTTAAAGACATTGCTCAAGCTTACCCAGGCAGTACATTGTAGACTTGGAACTCTGACCCAGGTGTATTAATCTCAAAACCCTGATCCTTCCATTATCCCAAGATGCTCAAGTTCTTTATACCTGCCTGGACAGAAAGAAGGGTACACCTTAGCCCCTATGTAATGTAGCATTTATGTGGCTTCTTGCCTCCAGCTAATCCTAAACTTATGGTAGGGATCCATTGCTCAGTCAGACTATAGCTCTGATTTAGAAATGCTCCAGTGGGAGCTGGAGACATTGTCAAGGAGACAACCCTTAACAGCTGCTTTCCCCTTCTCGGCCTGTGGGTGGGATTATGTCCAAAGGTCCCTGTGTAAGTGGGAAGACCACACAAGGAGGAGACCCTTCTCCACTGGAGAGATGATTATTTTCCATTTGGCAAAAGGTAAGTGGGGCTTATTTCTGACATGCCTGCTAAGACCCCACATCTCTCACTCTGGCTTCCTTTCTTCTGGATCCATTAGCTATGAAGAGTAGAGGAAAAAACACTGAGATAGACACTAATTGTGTTGACCCTAAGGTTGTTAAGCAACCCCTAGAGTCAGAAGACTGTTGCTGTCTTGTACTACAGCAGGAAAAGTCATTTCCATGAACTATTCAATCTTCAGTTTTAAACATCAACACTAGCTTTCACTCACCTCCATAGTTACGCTTCCTGCGGCCTCACAACCATGACCAAGTGTCACAGTGTTCTCACATTCAGAAAGAGGAAACTGGTTTCTTGGACTCCTCCTTCTCTCCCCTCTTCTCTTAGTCCCAGCTACAGAGAGACTCATATAGCAGAGATATTCCTTTTCTTTTTTTTGAGACAGAGTCTTGCTCTTGTTGCCCAGGCTGGAGTGAAATGTCATGATCTCGACTCACCACAACTTCCGCCTCCTGGGTTCAAGTGATTCTCCTGCCTCAGCTTCTTGAGTAGCTGGGATTACAGGCATGCACCACCACACCTGGCTAATTTTGTATTTTTAGTAGAGACAGAGTTTTTCCATGTTGGTCAGGCCGGTCTCGAACTCCCAACCTCAGGTGATCCACCCGCCTCGGCCTCCCAAAGTGCTGGGATTACAGGTGTGAGCCACTGAGCCCAGTCCCATTTTTTAAAAAATTAATTTTTGTGAAAACTAAAGGAAAACATTCTAGGGGCATTGCTTCTCACAAGGAAGTGGCTGGGGAAGGCCACAATAGCCTAAAGGCAAGTTTTCTTAAATGTTTGGCTTGGGCCTACACCTCATACTTTTGACCAGACCCCTTAGTTCATACTGTGGAAAACAGGGCTGAAGACAGCAAGGTATTAATAGGACCTAAGTCATCAACAACCAGCCTGACCTTTGCACGGGAAACTTCCCTTAAGTACCAAAATGACAACCCCAAACGGAAGGGTGGTTGACAGCATTAAGTCAAGAGTCCTGACACCCAGTGCTACATAGAAGCTGGTGCAAGTATGGAATTGGCCAGTGGGGTCAATTCCTTTGAAGGGGCAGGATTCTAATGGATGAAGTGACATTCAGAACAACTGGGAGATTGTGAAAGAAGAAATTCAGGTATACAGTTACGTCAGAAATACTGACAGTGAGACAGTTTTATTTCCTGCCAGATTTTCACCTGATGTCCTATCTGAGGTGTTAAGAATGTAGATGTCTACATTACTCTCCAAGACATTCTCTGTTCCCTTTATTTGAGCATAAATAGTTAAGAAGATACAACAGCAGATTACTAGCATCTTGCTGTTGTTGAATCAAATTGAATTTATTCATGTAAGGAACTGAGACTTCAAAACAGTTTTTCTTATTGCTTACGGGCTTGACTGTCCCTCAGCCCTTCTTAAGGAAGCAGGCACACCATCTGCTCTGGTTGTTGACTTTAAACTTCTTGAACTTGGCCTTTAGTATGGGCTCTCCCTTTTCTGGCCCTTATAATTGGGAGACAGGAGTTCATAGTGATCAAGAACAAGGGAATCAAGCTGGACAGACCTTTCAAATGCTTCCTCTGCCACTGGGAGAATTATGGCAGGTTACATCATCTCTCAAACTTTGTTTTTCCCATCTGTAGCAAATGCTTCAAAGAATTGTTGTGAGTCTTCAATGAGATGTATCTATGGAGAGCACTCCCTGCTTAGCACATTGTAAGCCCTTAGTAAAAATTAGTTGCCATTATTGTAGTTATTATTATTAAAGCTGGGCTTGGGGCTGGTTGATCTGGCCTCTTCCCAAGAGCTCCCAATGGGGCCTAGCAGTAATAAGGAAGCCCTGGAGAACCTGGCCAGGAGCACCCCAGGAACATAACCTTAGCAAGCTTCCATTGTGGCGTCTTCTTTGGCTACAGTGTCTGAAAGCTGTCTGCTTTGAGCTAAGGAGAGTCTACAACAGAAGCAAGCATGTCAGCTTCATGACAGCAAGAATTTGATTATTGTTGCAGGCCCAGTTCCTGGAACGGGGTATAATGCATTGTAGATGCTTAGCCAGTATTTGTTAAAGATAAAAAGCAGGGATTCTGATCCACATCAAGAGGACCATGGCAGGGACCAGTGCCTCCAAATCAAGTGTACCATTTTCTTCAAGATGGAAACAACTAAATTGTCTGCTGAATCGCAAGGAAAGCCCAAATGATCAATTTTTTTTTCCTTTAGGAAACTAGGACTAGTTCTGTAGATTTTCTTTAAAAATCCCAGAAAATCAATCTTGACAGGATTAAGATAAGCAACTAACAATCCAGATAATTCCTGGAATACTATGAGCAAAGAGTGTAGTTTGGATGCCAATTCCAGGTCATAACTATGAGAACTGGACTTCCAAAGACATGACAAAAATTAAAACAAAGATCAGAATTGAATAAGATTTGTATTTAACACCAATACGGAGATAACATCAGGATTGTGATTTTGCATGAACAAGTAATTTGAAGTTTCTGTCTTTGGGGATTGGCAAAAGTGTGCAACACCCCAGAGGGGAAATCAAAGCTACTAGTCTTTGGTTTGAGTAGGTACCAGAAATGAAGACAGGGAGGTAGAAAATTCTTCCCTGTGTTTATTTTTTTTTTCACTTTGGATTCTTAGTCTTCCACAAACTTTCGACTTCTTTCTCTTATTTTACTTTATTTTGAGATGGAGTCTGGCTCTGTCACCAGGCTGGAGTGCAGTGGTGCGTTCTCAGCTCACTGCAAACTCCACCTCCCGGATTCAAGTGATTCTCCTGCCTCAGCCTCCCGAGTAGCTGGGACTACAGGCACGCACCACCACACCCAGCTAATGTTTGTATTTTGAGTAGAAACAGGGTCTCCATCACTCGACATCATGATCTGCCCGCCTCAGCCTCCCAAAGTGATGAGATTACAGGCGTGCGCCACCACACCTGGCCTTCTTTCTCTTATTAAAGAATAAGAGAAAACCACTAATTTGGGAGAGAATGCAGAGGTTTTTACTTGTTCCTTCTATTCTCCCTCTTGACAGAAGCCACCATCGCGCCGACGCCGACTCAGCATCATCCCACCTGTTGTCCGATCTGATCCAACTTCTAAGGACTTGGTAGAAATTTCTGTCGATGATGAGTCACCTAAGAATCCACAAAAAAAGGCTTTACCACAGGGGATTTTGACAGCAACTCAGGTGAGTATATTAAAGGGCAGGTTGGGGGGGCTCACAGATCAGAGGCATAATTTCTTCTTCTGTTCTTTATTCTCCTGCTGGAGCTCACCATTAGGGGGATGATTGGGGAAGGAGCTGACATTCTTGGCTTTTGATTTGCATGGCGGTTTTCCATCCAATTCTACAAACCAAATAATCATAATTTTAATGAATAAGCAATGGAAGATAGTATTTTGGAAGCAGTAATAGTTTGCAGATGTTTTGAGTATTTCATGAAGATAAAAATAGAGGTTTTTACTGAAGCATAGTCTCTACACTTTGAAATCTAAAAAATATCAGTGGTTAGGGCATATAGTATTATTTGATAGATACATATCCATGTGAAGAATCAGTTGACACATGAGAGGGCAATGTGTCTATTTATATGTCTAAGTTTTTCAACCAGATAATATCAGTCAGCAAGTTAGTATCGTGTGCCCATATAAACACTTCCATTCTTAAACTAATGTGTTTAATTGAATTGGTTGTTGGTGAACTTGAAAGGGCTCTTAGAGTGAAGTAGAGTTTAGAATGATTAACCTTTGGAAATAAAATGTAAACAGAAACCTAACTTATAATGAAGAGAATTTGCCAGTCAGAACAAAACTCTGTTTTGTTGTTAAAAGATCTTATGAAGTGAAGCAGCCCTCAGTTAGATATGTCAACAAAGAAACAAATTAGGTTAAAACCAAAGTTAAAGCACAGACTGGTAGTAGGTGGGTGGATGCTTATTGTTCTATGAATCTGGGCTATGACTACAAGTATTTTCTGCAGAATGCCACGAAATCAGATGAATAGGGATATATAGTCTGAATTAGTGGAAGGGTTGACTTAGATAGCATTTTTTATTGTACTAAAATACAGATCATGTAAAATTTGCCATGTTAGCCATCTTAAAGTATACAATTCAGTGACAGTACATATATTCGCAATGTTATGCAATCATCACCACTATCAAGGGTCAGAACCTGTTTGGTTATCCCAAATGGAAGCCCAGTTCCTATTAAGCAGTCATTCACCATTTGTATCTCCCATCAGCCCCTGACAACAACTATTCTACTTTCTATCTCTGTACTTGCCTACTCTGGATATTTCATATAAATGGAATCATACAATATGTGGCCTTTGTGCTGGCTTCTTTCACTTAGCATAATGTGTTTGAGGGTCATCCATATTGTGACATTTATCAGTACTTCATTTCTATTTATGGCTGAATAATACTTCATCATATGGATGTACCATATTTTGTTTAGCCATTCATCCATTGATGGACACTTGTGTCCTGTCTACCTTTTGGTTATTGTGAATGGTGCTATTATGAATATTCGCATACAAATTTTTGTTTGAACACCTGTTTTCAATTCTTTTGGGTATATACCTAGGAGTGGAATTGCTGGGTCATATGGTAATTCTGTGTTAGCTGAATTAGCTGGGTGTGGTGGCACACGCCTGTAGTCCCAGCTACTCGGGAGGCTAAGGTGGAAGAATCGCTTGAACCGGGGAGGCGGAGGTTCCAGTGAGCTGAGATTGCGCCACTGTGCTCCAGCCTGGAGACGGAGCAAGACTCCATCTCAAAAAAAAAAAATTATAGTCATGTTTGTGGGTGTGAAGTAGTATCTCATTGTGGTTTTGATTTGCATTTCTCTAGTAAATAATGATGTTAAATATCTTTTCATGTGCTTATTAGCCATTTGTGTATCTTCTTTGGAGAAATATCCATTTCTCCTTTATCCATTAATTGAGTTACTTGTCTTTTTGTTGTTGAGTTTGTAAACCAGAAAAGTATCTAAGACAGGTCAGAATCAATTTGGAAATCTTATTTTGCACATCAAAGGAGAACATATGCCCCCTCCCCATGATTGTATACAAATGTACAACTTTCAAAGTGATTTTCCATATATAGTTACATTTGATTCTCTCAATAACTCTGTAAAGCAGCCAGGAAAGATTCCCATTACAGATGAAAAAAGTTGAGGCTCAGAGCGGTGAAGTGACTTGGCCAAAGCCACAGAGCCAAACAAAGATAGAGCTAGGTCTTGATCCCAGGACTCCTGATCAAATCTATAGCACTTTCACTGAACTATGTGGCTTCTAGCAGTCCTCTAACTTTGTATAACCAATGCTCAATAATAGCAACAGCAGCTAACATTTATCAAGACTTTCTTATGTAACAGGCACTGTGTTAAGCACTTCCCATGTATTATTTTATTTAATCTTTACAACAACGAACCAAAGTATGTATTATGATTATTCCTATTTTACAGACATGAAAACTGAGGCTCAAAAGGGTTAGGGAACTTGCTCAAAGTCAGACAGCCAATAAATGGTATAGCTAGGATGTCATATTCAGGCCTGTTTGGTTTCAAAGTCCATGTTCTTATTCTCTATACTAGAAATGAAGAGAAAGGCTCTCATTCAAGAAATTGAAGAGATTGTGATAGAAGGGGGGTGCAGGGAATATCAGAAATCCCACCTCCAAGAACTTTCAAGTTGGCAAAAATCTTGGCCACAACAGCTTTTAAGCAACACAGATTTTGTGTTAAGCAGCAGCTGTACAGGAAGTCTCAGGAATGGGCACAGAAGCCACTTTGCCACACCCAGGGAATTAAAATCTTAGCCATTATTGGATCTCACTCTGTGCCAGTACCTCTTGGTGCAGAAGTCTCCCACCAAGAACCACTTTTCCCACCAAAAGTTGCTTCTTGAGATAATCCAAAGACAACTTGCTTTTAGCTTTTGACTCACATGGAACCCAGCTCCCCAGCATCCCAGCGTCAATCTCGGAGTGTATTTTTTCCCCGGGGTGGCAGCTTTATGGACCAAATGCTTGATGAAACCTGGACCTAAACAGCCCCCTGGTAATCCTCTTATTTAAGACATTACAACCAGAGCTTTCCTTTGTTCCAAGAAGACAGTCAAACTGCTCTCTATCCCTGCTCAAAAGGAGAAAACCCTAGCATCATACAACAGAAAAAGAAATCATTAAAAGGACTGCCAAAATGTGCATTATTGACTAAACTGCTTTGCACTGGGTCTAGAAACTTTACAGAAGGGAAAAAAGAAGTGAAATGTGTTTTTATTTTCCAAAGAGCTGCCCTTATGCCAGCTAATAGCAAGAGTATCCAGCTCCCTACCAACCAGTGCTGAAGAATCCTTTTCCCTGGCCCAAGGTCCAACTTCCTTTTCTAAGAAGATTCTGGATTACTGGGTACCTGGCCATGCACATCTTCCAGATGTTGAGGCATGAGGAGCCCATTAATTCCAGATATTAATCTGAAGATGTCTGTGCTAAACTCCCTCTAAAACACAGGAGAAGAAATGGAAACATCTCAGCCTTACTTAATAATATGCATAATTGACTACATATCCTCCCTTAAAAGTGGGAGATAAATAATGTGGACACAGTGGACACAGAGTGTAGAAAATAAGCATTAGAGATTTGAAAGGGTGGGAGGGAGGGAGGAGGGTGAGGGATGTCAAATTACTTCATGAGTACAATGTATATTATTTGGGTGATGGTTACAGAAAAAGCTCAGACTTCACCTCTATGCAATATATCCGTGTAACCAACTACACTTATACCCCTTAAATTTATACAAACGAAAAAATAATATGCATATTGGGTTCAGACAGGGTATGTTGGTATGTTGGCTGTCAGAGTGCATAAAAGGAGGAATAGCGCTGGAGGGGAGTAAGGAAGGAAAAGTAAAGGACGGTGTCCCACTTTCTCCATTCATTTTCCTTTCAGAATTCTGCCAGGAAGGGATTATATTTGCTTTTCCTGGGTAACTCATAAAATCCTGTGGTTGGCTCTTGTGGTAACTTTTCTAGGTTGCTGTTAACCAGGAGGGCTGAGGACCTAAGAAGTAACCACACTTCCTCCAGCCTTAAAAGACCAGAACTCTGACACCACTCTGAAGTAGGGAAGACATTCAGAACAATAAAAGAAGAGCTTTTACTCTATACACTGATATTAAATTTATTTTTCCAGTAGATAATATAATCTAACTAGACAATATCAGGAAGAGGCAGTATAGAAATTCATGGATGAAAATTGCATAAAGAAGTTAAAGAAATCTTCGGATCAATCTTAATTTTGATTGATCCCACAAAAGGCAACTGTACTATTCCTCTGTCTTCTCCCTGAATCCAAAGCAGAATGGTCTGCAGGATTTGTCATCTGCCTGACCCATTAACTCTGTGTTGAGTCCCCAGGCACTGGAATTACAGTGCCATCTTCCAAGATAGTAGCTAAAGTTATCACTGCATCAACATACAACAGTGGTGGGAATCGTGAAGACATGTGAAAGCTGCAAGTACCAAGGGGATCCCTGGCAGTGTGCAAAACTAGTCTGAAGAGAACATAGTGGGTCAACACAAATGGAAATTCTGTCTACTGGCTAAATTTTATAATTTGCTACTAGTATCTAGCAGAGACAGTTTATCAGCTGATCTTCAAAGGGTCTTCTGCTAACAGAAATCGGAATCTTCTTAGAAATGGAAAGAGCTCTGGGGAGGCTCTTTGAGGTATGGAAAATACTATGTCCAGAAGCCCAGAGGAGACCGTTTTGAAGGTCCTACAGAGGAATTCAACTAAGTGTCCCAGAACCAAATAGTATGGCGATATGGAGGGCAGCCATAATGAGGACAGGGTTACGGGCTCCATACCTGTCCCACTGGAGGTTGGAGCATTCAATTCCTGAGGGTCCTCCCATCAGTCTTGCACCCATGAACTGTCAATATAAATAAAAGGTAGTGTGCTCTCTATGAAAATGCAGCTTGCAGATAGGCCCTCTTCCAACCTGATTTTTCTCCCTCCACCCAACCCTCCAATGTAGAAATCCCAGAGCTCTGCTGGGTTTCACTAATACCAATTGTGCCTCTCACCCCAGCCAGATGTCCTGTTGATAAGAAGGGGATCTAGGACAAGAGAACATGCAATTCCTCTGATCTTGCAAACTCAATTCAGTGGTCGCGTTCTTATCTCGAGGACAGTGGGGTGCCCCTGAAAGCTTTCTAAGCAGGGGAGTAACCCAAACTTCTTCCTGTTTCTTGTTTTTATCTGCAAGGAAATCGGTAAAATTATGGAGCTTACCAATAATGAATAAGCCTATTGACTGGAAATGTAGGAAAAGGGGACAAGAGTTCACGAAGAATTTCTTCTTTAGGAATTCTTCAGTCAGAAGAATTTCCAACTTTTGAGACCAGTAACAGCATATGGGTTGACTCGTCTATTTTCTCTCACCTTCTCCAGAGCTTCTCTGAGCGATTACCTGGACCTGACTGCTCACAGTCCTTGACTGCATTTGCCACACTTGCCTCTGCCAGTAGCACCCCACTGCCGGTTGGTTTCAGCACCCCAGCCACCACCGAGGCCTGTTTGGATTCTTCAGCTGCTCGCCACAAGATGACTTTAAATCCCCGCAAACAAAACAAGAAGAAGAACCTTCAAGCAATTGTAAGTCCTTCAAGAGACAGGGGACTAAACTCTTGTTTAAGAAAAGATAAGTTCCAATCTTTGCAAACTACTGCTAGGGAAATAGTATGGTGTAGGAGACCCATGCCCTAAGTAAGATTGGCAAGGTCAAAGGCGCTGTCCTAAGCTTGACAACCCCAGAGGGGGTGAGCAAGCTTGCATCTATTGGGTGTGGTTTCCTATCCATGTGGAACTTTATATTAGAAGGGACTAAAAGGAAGCAGAAACAGTGAATGATTTCAACCCCCATAAACTGCTTATTGGCTTAGCATCTGAAAGTTCACTCCACCCTATTTGTAGAGAATATTCAACCGTACCCCAGATCAGGATTCTTTCAGTTATTCATCAGATGAGATCCATGAGTTACAAACTGCAGCACCATTCCACTTATTTGGAGGTCAAGCTTTCAGCAACTCTAAACATCCAGAACTTGGTTGTTAACCTCTCCAAAGATCTCCAAATAGATGTCACATGACTTTCTAGGAAGCAGACCTACTGTGCAAAAAACATGGCCACAGATTAGACTCAGACCTGACAGCAAAGAGAGCGACAGCTGATAGCAGAGAGAATGACAGAAACAATCTGGGGCCATTTAATATAGGGGCTCAAAAACCTTGCCCACTTCAATAGGTCCTTCAGGGTCACACTATATCACAGTCCAGTGTAATAGATCATTTCATTATTTGTCCAAGTCATCTAGAAAAAGTAGATTATGTTTTGTGATCCCTGTTTAATTTAAAAGATAGAGAAATAATGCTTTTAGAAAAGGCTTTTAGTAAAGATTAAAGATTAGGGCTGGGCATGATGGCTCATGCCTGCAATTCCAGCACTTTGGGAGGCCGAGGTGGGCTGATCATGTGAGGTCGGGAGTTCAAGACTGGCCCGACCAACATGGAGAAACCCTGTCTCTACTAAAAATACAAAATTAGCCGGGAGTGGTGGTGCATGCATGTAATTCCAGCTAGTCAGGAGGCTGAGGCAGGAGAATCGCTTGAACCTGGGAGGTGGGGGTTGTGGTGAGCTGACATTGCACCATTGCACTATAGTGTGGGCAACGAGCAAAAGTCCGTCTCAAAAAAAAAAAAAAGTTAAGGGTTAAAAAATGTCAGTGTTTAAAGGGATGTGTCAGTTGGCTACAAAATTCACTTTTATGAAAAACTGAATTCACCAGTGATTCTGGTCTGAAAGTAAGAGACTGTGAACGAGAGGTAAAGAGACTAACAGATTGTACAGTACAAACATTTTACAGGGAAGGACATTAAAGCACAAATACTTTCAGATACTCACCCAGAGTCAAACATCCAGATGGTGGGAGAGCTAGGGCCAGAATCCAGTCTTCTGACTTCTAGCTCAGCACTTTTTTTTTTAATCCCACCATCTTGCCTCTAGCTTAGGCATCTCAATTTCACTTCAGGAAGTACACAAAATATGAGTTGAAAGAACAGGTGCAGGAGCAGGGGGGCAGAGGGAAGCCCTCTGGTGGCCTTGAGAGTATCTTCTTAGTTTGGTGTCAAAAAAGGGGTGACCAATTACTAGGTGCCAAACCCCATATAGGCATTATCCCCTGAATACCTCACCACAGACCTGGGAGATGGGGGAGTTTGGCTGAGGGAAACAGTATGAGCCTTCTAAGTTTCTTCTTTCTGTATAGCCTAGTTGAGAAAAGGCCTGGGCATCACCCTCTGAGAAGACCAGGACGTCCACTTCTTCCCTGTGACTCTCTCCCTGACATGTGGATGAATATAAAAAGATCCGAGATCATTTATAACACAGGGACTACTACCACTTTCTCCCTGCTCTGGAATTTATTAGATCTGCAAGTCCCACACGAGGTTTTTCCTAGTCTCTTATTTATTGATGTAGACACAGTGATTCAGAGAATAACTTGCCCAAGGTCACGCAGCAAGTAAATGATGAAGAGATCCTGAATCCAGGCCAATCTGACCACATTGGCTCAAAAATAAATTATTATGAGCTGTGTCTGTTTGCACAGGCACTTTGAGTGGGAGTGTAAAGAGTTGTATGTTTGTCTTCACATGCATGCCATAAAGGCTTACACTAAGCAAATTCCATACACTGTTCAGTGCAGTGCTATGCGGACATTTCCAGAGCTGTATTCTAATTATCAGAAAACCTTATTTATACTAAACCAACTTCACCCCATCTGATGTAAGGGCTGAACCCTTCAGCTTTTTCTCCTTTTCCTCCCAACAAAACCCCAATTCTCTTTCTTTGTTTGATCTGGAAAGAGATGATTCATGCTTTCATTAAATTCCCTGAAAAGAAGCCAAACAGGATTTGAATTTGGCTCACAGGTCGGTGAAGCAAATCTGAGAATCCCATTATGGCCAAGGGCATGATCGTTGTCAGCCCCAACGACCCCATTTTCGGATTCATGGGCTTCCAGTGTGGTTCAGTAGTTTCCAGGGCATTTTAGAGAGATCGCTGTAGTGTGTCATTCAGAGATTAAAAACTCCAAACCTGGATGAACCACTTCCAATAGGTAAAATGATCCCCAGGGATCTCTTGGTGGAAACAATTCCATTAAGAAATCCCTGGAAATATCTCCATTGAAATAACTTCCATCTTTTCAGGTATTGTTACATGCCCAGCATCAAGAACTTTTTTCCTGATTTTTTTTTTTTTTTTTTTGGCAACCATGCAGGAGTGGTTGGAAAGCACTTCAGTAGGATTCAAGCTCATTGTTTTCCCGTTTCAGGTAAAACCAAACCAGGAGGAGCGAAACCTTCCATTGGTTTCTGGAGAAGAAAAGAATGTAACCAAACCAAAAGAAACCAACCAAAAGAAGCTGGGTAAGGACAGTACAGGATAGCATATTTTTACCCTCACCCAGAAACATGCATGACAGACTTCATCACACAGTGCTATGTTGATAGGAGCTATACCCAAGAATTATCCAAGACTGCTGTCCTTGGTCCTCAGAGAGCTTTCAATTTAAGATGCAGATAATGTGGTCCAGGCTCCTCCATCTAAACTGCTGAAGTAATATAATTGCCACTTGTGTGGGGTTCAGGTAAAGGATCATACCTGGATTCTTATTTTATCTAAATGAATTTCCAACAAGAGAGGTGTTTTGTTTATAAATTTATTTCATCTTCTTTGAGGGTAACGTACATGCTGAGTTCCTCAGTGAGCCCAGATGTGAGAGGACAGCCAGTGATTTTCCCTTCAGCATTCTCCCTCAGCAACAGAACCAGAAAGGAATAACAGAATTGGCCAAAAAAATCGTTTTTTAAAAGTTGTCTTTCTCTTCCTGTAGAGCAAAAACGTCCGTGTTAATAATGAGACTATTGCCCATATCCACGGACAAAGAGGGTTTGGGCAGCTGCAGACAGATGTCCTTGGTAGCCAACACCTATCAAATTCCCAAACAACAAATCCCACGAGAGTGAAAAGCTCTCTGTTCACGTGTGTACATACGTCTATGTTGGCTCCAACTGATGGCAAGCTAATTTCAAGCAATATTTGATAAAAATTCCAGTTCCTCAAATTAAGTTAAACAGTTATGCCACGTTTTTGCCACAAAGGATTTCACATGTGGGTTCAAAGACAGGATACTCCTAAACACATTTTCCCATGAAATCTAAGAAAACCACACAACTCTCCAGTAAAAAAAAAAAAAAGAAAGAAAAAAAGAAAAAGAAAGATTAAATTAGTACTCTTTTATCTTTTTGAGATTTATGTTTTAATAGTTGTCTCTTTTACACACAGAGGATAGAACTGAGCCAGTATCCATGGGGGCAGATACTTTAGTTGATTTTCCATATCATGGAAGTGGTTTGGAGCAATCAGTTATTCTCAGCGCGGTATGTTGGATATGAAATCACTAGATGGAGCTGGGGATGCAGCAGATAGTGAGTAAAGAAAGGCAGCAAGGGGCCACCTGAAGATCAAATTGAGTTTCTTAGAAAAGTACTACAAGAAAGGAGGGGAGCAATCTGTACAACTATGACCTTGTTCTTGACCTGAAGCCGGTGGACCAATGCAATTGCTAAGGCATTCTGAGAATTTCCTTGCATGTATATTACATACAATTATTTATAAAAAATTTTTATTTCAATAGCTTTCGGGGTACAAGTAGATTTTGGTTACATGAATGAATCATATAGTGGTGAAGTCTAGGATTTTAGTCTAGGATTTTACTGTCACCCTAGTAATGTACGTTGTACCCAGTATGTAGTTTTTCATCCCTCACCCTTTTCACACCCTCCTTCCTGCCCGAGTCTCCAATGTCCATTATACCACTCATGTATGCCTTTGTGTACATAGCTTAGCTCTTATTTATAAGAGAGAACATGTGGTGTTTGGTTTTCGATTCCTGGGTTACTTCACTTAGAATATTGGCCTCCAGTTTCATCCAAGTTGCTGCAAAAGACATCATTTCATTCTTTTTTATGCCTGAGTAGTATTTCATGGTGTATATATATATATGTGTGTGTGTGTGTATATATATATGTGTGTGTATATATATATATGTGTGTGTGTGTATATATATGTGTGTGTGTATATATGTGTGTATATATATGTGTGTATATATATGTGTGTGTGTGTATATATATATGTGTGTGTGTGTGTGTGTGTGTATATATATATCACATTTTCTTTATCTACTCATAGGTTGATGGGCACTTAGGTTGATTCCATATCTTATAAACATACATGTGCAGGTGTTTTTTGATATAATGACTTCTTTTCCTTTCGGTAGATACCCAGTAGTGGGATTACTGGATTAAATCATAGATCTATTTTTAATTCTTTGGGGAATCTCCATACTGTTTTCCATAGAGGTTGTACTAATTTGCATTCCCACCAGCAGTGTATAAGTATTCCCTTTTTATCACATCCATCCCAACATCTATTGTTCTTTGACTTTTTAATAATGGCCATTCTGGCTGGGGGAAGATGATATCACATTGTGTTTCACTTTGCATTTTCCTCATGATTAGTGATATTGAGCATTTTTTCATATGTTTGTGGTCCATTTCAATATCTTTGTTTGAGAATTGTTTATTCATGTTCTTTGTCCACTTTTTAATTGATAATTATAGTTTATTGTCACCTGGTTTCAGCTCTGGGTGCTTTCAGTTTTGAACACTCTGTATGAGTTCCTTGGTTGTAGAGTATCTTTGTGCGATGGCTTTCTCAGACACTGCTTGTAGTAGTGATATGCTGGGTCTGTGCACAGGTTCACTGTCTCCTATGGGGAGTTTTCATCTGGTTTATAGTGTAGGCTGCTGCCCAACACTTCTTTCAAAGGGTCTGTGATTTCTTTCAGTCTTTTTGTTAAGTTTCTGTCTTGCTTCTTGGAAAAAGCTCACAACATGAATCTCTACGTATTATTTTGTCTTTCCAAGTGGGAGAGACATACCAACAATGCCTCCAATCTGCATCTTGGAAATAAAAACAACTAGGATCATTTTAATATGAGAGAGTAGAAGAAAAGAATAAAAGGGGCCATAATCTTGCCTCCCAGATAATTCCCATGGACACCTTTCTAAAAAAAAGCAATATATGCACATGATATGAAATTTCAAGCAGTTGAGATAAATATTATGTAGAAAATAGAAATGCTAGTTAGAAAGTAAAAAATTTCATTCCTCTTTCCTGTCAGTTTCCCCAAAGGCAATCAGTGTTACAGGTTCAAAATTTGCCTTCTGATATGTCTCACATCGAATGGTGGACAAGACTATTGGTAAAAATGTGATAAGCCAACCCTGCACTCCATTCCTAGAACTAGAATTTCCCTTTGGCTTAAAAATGTCCAACTGCAGAAACCTAATAGTGGCCAAGTTGCCCCCTGTCTTCCAAATACCTGCTTCCTCATACTAGATAATTCATTAGCAAATAGATACCATTGGGCCAGGGCACAGTGTTCTTAATTTAGAAAGTCAAAGTCACACATATTTCTCTTTTTCTTATTTCTATTTGGTACAGGTTCCTCAAGCAAGGAACAGAGCAAGAAAACTGAAATATACGACAAGAAGACAACAGACCAGGCTCCAAACTCTGATGCTACTGGGAGTCAGGGCCATCCACTACCAGAAGCATCTGGAAGAAAACGGAGAAAAAAAGGAGCAAGTGTTTCAGGATTGAGTGAGTGTGAATTCAAGGAAAGAAGCCTTAAACAATATCGCCTGGGCGATGGAGCTGCATCCTCACCTACTGATAAGACTGCCAGGAATGTGCCTTTCTGGCACTTACCCTTGGAGAAGGACAACATGGAGCAGCCTACACCTCCACAACCAGAAAGCACTACCCCTCAGGGGTTGCTTTCAGATAAAGATGACATGGGAAAGAGAAATGCTGGCACAGATTTCGGATCCAGAAAAGCATCAGCAACACAGCCTATACCTGAAGACATGAAAGATCCCATGGTTACTGATCCACAACCATACCATGAAAATGGGGCTCCTGCAGCTGAGAAGACAGAAGCCAGAGTGTCTCTTTCATTGATGGTGGAAAGCCGTTCTACAACCCAAGAGGAGGCCATTCTCTCAGTGGCAGCAGAGGCTCAGGTGTTTACAGATCCTTCTCATATCCAGTCACGAGAGAAAGAAACTTTCAGCTTTGAGTCACAAAAGGCCCAATCCAAAATGAAGTCAGCCCAGGATATTCAAACTATCTACAAAGAAAAGCCTTCTGGAAATGTTCGCCAGGCCTTTACAGCAAGTGTTTTGAGTATGACAGATACTCCAGCCAAAGGAGAGGTTTATGCCAAGAGTCTGCCTCCTGAAAGCCTTTTTCAGTCCTCTAGGAAGCCTGATGCTGAAGAAGTCTCCTCAGATTCAGAGAATATTCCCGAGGAGGGGTATGGTTCTGAAGAACTGGCTTGTGGTCACTCTTCCCAGTCCTCATTGAAGTTTGAAGATGAACAAAAAGTCTTCTCAGAATCAAAAAGTTTGGTTGAGGACCAGAGCAGCTCTGAGGAAGAGCTGGACCCCAGATGCCCTTCCCAGGCTTTAGAGGAGCCTGAATATGAAGTCCTCACAGACTCAAGCAGTTATATTGATAAGTATAACAGTTCTGAGGACTGCAGCAGCTCGGAGGAAGACCTGCCTCTTGGACACCCTGCTCAGGCCTTGGAGAAGCCCAAAGACCAACAAGAAGTCGCCTCAGCTTCAAAGAGTACTCCTGAAGAGCAGACTGCTTCCGTGCTGCAGCTGCCTCCCAGAGGCCCTTCTCAGCCCATTATGAGTCCTGCTGTTCAGCAACAAGTTCGCACCAGTTCAGTGGGCACTTCTACAAAATGGAGCAGTTCCGTGGAGCCAATCTCTCCAAGACGCCCTTTTGAGGCATGGGTGATTCCTAAATCTGAGCAAAAAGTCTCCACAGGTCCAGAGAGTGCTGCTGTTGAGGGCATTTTTCCAGAACCTCTGCCTCCCAAAATTCCTCCTAAGCACCGGATGAGACCTAAAGCAGAGCAACAAGGCTCCTCAAGTCCAGAAATTACAAGTATGGAGGGGGCTGCTTCTGTGGAGGCCCCACCACCCAGCCAGTATTCTCAGCCCCTGATGAGCCCAGGAGTCCAGCAAGAAGTCTCTGCAGGTCCAGAGACTGCTGCTGTTGAGGGGAGCATTTCCGTGCAGCAAAGGCCTCCCAAACACCCTTTCCAGCTATCGGTGAATCCGAAAGTGGAGCAAGAAGTTTCCTCATCTCCAAAGAGCATGGCTGTTGAAGAAAGTGTTTCTAGGAAGCCTCTGCCTCCTAAACTTCTTTCCCAGCCCTTGATGAACCCTAAAGTTCAAAAGAACATGATCTCAGGTTCAGAGGACATTGCTGTTGAGAAAGTCATCTCTGCGGAGCCACTGCTCCCCAGATATTCTCCTCAGTCCTTGACAGATCCTGAAATCCAGCAAATCTCAGAAAGCACAGCTGTTAAGGAAGGCACTTCTGTGGAGCCACTGCCTCCCAGATGCCTTTCCCAGCCCTCCGGGAGGTCTAAGTTCCTAGACTCAATGAGTACTTCTGCAGAATGGAGCAGTCCTGTGGAGCCAATGCCTGCTGGACACACCTTCCAACCACGAGTTAGTCCTAAATTTCAGTGGCAAGTATCTGAAGGTCCAGAGAGCACTGCAGCTGATAGGAGCATTTCTATGCAGTCGATGCCTCCCAGACATCCTTTCCAGCCACGCGTCATCCCTACATTTGAGCAACAAGTCTTTGCAGGTCCAGAGACTGCTGCTGCTGACTGGGGCATTTATGCAAATCCACAGCCTCCCAGAGTGCCTTCTCAACGCAGGATGAGATCAAGAGCCAAGCAAGCAATTTCCTTGCATTCAACGAGCATTTCTGCAGAAAGGTGCAGCTCTGTGGAGCCAACATCTCCCAGACGCCCTTTCCAGCCACAGGTGAGCCCTACATTTGAGCAACCAGTCTCCGCAGCTCCAGAGAGCACTGCAGCTAAAGGGACTGCTTCTATGGAGCTGAGGCCTCCCAGACAGCCTTCTCAGCCCCTGATGAGACCAGCAGTAGAGCAAAAAGTCTCCTCAGGTTCAATGAGCACTTCTGCAGAACGGAGCAGTCCTGTGGCACCTTCCAAATACACTGTCCAGCCATGGGTGACCCCTAAATTTGAGCAACTGTATCAACTCTCTGCAAATCCAGAAAGCACTACTGTTGAAGGGAACATTTCTAAGGAGCCGCTGCTTCCCAAACATCTTTCCCAGTTTACTGTGAGAGATAGAATCCAGCAACTGTCTTCAAATTTCAAGAGCACTGCTGTTGAGGCAGGCATTTCTGGGGGGCCACTGCCTCCAAAATCTCCTACCCAGTTCTTAACGAGGTCTAAAGTTCAAGAAATGACCTCGCATCTAGAGAACGTAGCTATTGAAGGCATTTCTAAGAAATCAATGATTCCCAGGCGTCCTGCCCAGTCATTCGTGAAGTTTATGGCACAGCAGATCTTTTCAGAGAGCTCTGCTCTTAAGAGGGGTGGTGATGTGGCACCTTTGCCTCCAAAACTTCCTCCCAAATCTTCGTCGAAGCCTAAAGTCAAGCACCAAGTTTTTTCAGATTGGGGGAATGCTAATCCTAAGGGAGGCGTTTCTTCAAAGATGCTGCCTGCGAAGCACCCTTTACAGTCCTTGGGGAGAACTGAAGACCCACAAGAAGTTCAAGAAGTTTTCTCATATTCAAAGAGTGCTCCTGGGAAGTGCAGCAGTTCTAAAGAGCAGCTGCCTCCCAGACAGCTTTCCCAGGCCTTGGGGAAACTTGAGTATGAGCAAAAAGTCTCTTCTGTTTCTGCCAGCTCTCCTGAAGAGTGGAGGAATTCCAGAAAGCAGCTGCCTCCCAAACATTATTCCCAAGCCTCAGATAAGTCTCAAGTCCAGCCACAGATGTCATCAATGGGCCCAGTGAATGTACCTGTAAAACAGAGCAGCAGTGAGGAGCACCTGCCTCCAAGTAGCCCTTTCCAGCAACAGGTTCATTCAAGTTCTGTGAATGCTGGTGCTGGGCGATCTATTTTTGAGACCAATTCTGACAACTGGTTCCTACAAAGAGATCAAGCTTTTGCAGACAAAACCAAGAAGTTCAGCCAAGATTCTAAAACCCGCATAAAGAGCATCCTGGCCCCAGCTACCAAACCTGGGAAGTTCACCGTTCCCCCTGCTGGGCAAACATCCACTTCCAGGGGCATTTACTCCAAGGAAGAAGTTCTCGAGAGTGGTGATGAAAATAATAACCAGCATTCAAGCCTATCCAACCAGGCACATGTTGAAAACCTTTTTGGAGTTCGACTGAGGAAAGTCCCTGCCTTGCAGAAGTATGAGAGTGAGAAACAAGATGACTTCACCCAACCTGCTTCAGTGCCCTTGGGCCCAGTTTCATCCTTTGTAGGTAAGGGGCATAAAATCAAAAGAAGCACATCCGAGGAGCTCCAGAATGCTGCAGGGAGCCTCACCAAAGTATCTAACTTGGCAGAGAAGCAACAGAGCAGGCCAAAATCTGAAAGCATGGCCAAGAAGCAACCTGCTTGCAAGACCCCAGGTAAGGCTTTTATCTCTCCAGATGGCAAGTAGATATCAAGTGGAAAGAAGAACTGGAAAGCAAAGCCTTGAATGGGCATTAAAGTCTGTTATAGCCTTGCTTACCGAACTGTGGCTTTGACAGGGCTTGCTGACGGGTTTGGGAGCATAATAGTGCCCCATTCTAGATTTAATAGATTTGGAGGTAATTTTGAGTCTCCCCTTTTCCAATACGGTTCCCCTCTTGACATTCATCTACATTCCATAATAAACACATGACCATCTCCCCATTCTCTCTTCCACACCCTCTGTACACCTTATATTTGGATGGAATTTTATGCTTTTCTTAAAATACTTTTTACATGTATTAAGCCCCTCCCTAACATGTGGATTTTTGAAGCCAACTCATTAGTAGAGCATCATGTTCAGCCTCTCAGCCTGAAATCTTAATTAGCCATAAATGTTTCTTCACCCACCTGAAATATGTAAGAATCCAAAGCTAGGTCATCTTTGGGGCACTAATGTCTCCCAAAACCTTTGGACTTTCACACTCTGTCTTTGGGAAAGTCTTTTATATTCCTGTAACCACACTCATGTAACCACACACTTGTGCGAGGGACTATGAAGTAATAAATACTCTAAGATTTTTCTTGGAGTTAGAGGAAAGGCATCAATGGCCTGAGCCTCTGGCTTCCTTAGAATTTTCCCTACCCACCTGGCAAACGTTGTCTTGCCCTGATTTGCAGATGGGAAGAGGGATGGACAAGGGAAGGGAAAGGTCCAATAAAGGAACAGTATGCCCACTTTTAAGTCAGCTTCTTTACTACCCAAGGAACTTCTGCCTTGCCAAGCTGTAAGGAGGGCCTAAAATGGTGGAGGGGGGCGTCTCTGCTTGATATATGTTTATTTTCCTTTGGCAATTAACAAGTTCCCATTTGGAATATTATTGTGGGTAAGCCCTAGCCAGGTTCAGGACCCTGCCTGCCTTGCTTCAGTTCTAACTTCTTTCATTCCTTTCTCAGAAAAGCCTGCTCATCAACAGTCACATTATGCCGTCTCAGAGCCAGCTTGGATAACTATGGAAAAGCAGAAGGAGATGGGTTTCAAGGCCCATATTCCTATGAAAGAGCTGAAAACCAAGAGCACAGCTGGAGCCAAGGCTGAAACTAAGGAGCCTAAATATGGGGTAGGAACCGGGGTAGCCTAGAAAACACTCCAAAAAAGTCGCTGGAATCACTGATCAGGCTTCCTTTGGGAACTTTGCCGACATGCAGCTCCCCATCTCTTTGGGAGCATTAATCAAGGCAGGGGGACTCTTCAGGGAAAAAGACTTGCTTTGCATTTATACAAACGTGCCCTGCTTTTGTGCTCTTAAAGGGTTTGTGCAGGCCAGGTGCAGTGGCTCATGCTTAATCTCGGTACTCTGGGAGGCCAAGGCAGGTGAATTGCTTGAGCTCAGGAGTTCAAGATCAGCCTGGACAAATGCTGAAACTCTGTCTTTACTAAAAATACAAAAAAATAGTCAGGTGTAATGGCATGCACTGATATTCCCACGTACTCGGGAGGCTGAGGTGTGAGGATTGCTTGAGCCCAGGAGTGGAGGCTGTACTGAGTCATGATCACACCACTACACTCTAGCCTGGGTAACAGAGTGACACTCTGTCTCAAAAGTAGGGGAGAGGATATGCAAAGTCATGAATATAGAGAGAATCTACAAAACAATTCCTGCCCTCAATACTCTAAAGCAAGTTTCCACAAATTGGTTGAGAAATAAGGAGTAAGTCATTTTACTTTATTTTTAATTTTTTATTTCCACAGGTTTTTAGAGTTGGTGTTTGGTTACATGAATAAGTTATTTCGTGGTGATTTCTGAGATTTTGATGCAGTCACCCGAGCAGTGTGCACTGTAACCCAATTCATAATCTTTTATCCTTCACCCCCTTCACACCCTTTCCCCGGGAGTTCCCAAAGTCCATTGTATCATTCTTATGCCTTTGCATCCTCATAGCTTAAAAAAATACCTAAAGGTAATCGCTGGAGTAAGAGTTGACTATCTTTACAGATATTTTATGCCTATCAATGTATATATGGAATCAAACTATAAATACTAGTTTTTACACTTAACATTTTATTTCTAGGCCCTTTTCCATATCAGTACACAAGTTCCCTTTCTGTGTTTGATGTTTGGATTTCTATATATTGATTTGGTTTGGTGTGGCACCTACCTATAAGTTAAAAAATGTGATGTAGTGAACTAGGCTAACTACCACATGTGGATAAGAGGTGATAGGATGCCTTTCTCCCCGCTCATCAAAACTGCATAAAACTGACTTAAGGTAACATACCAAATTCACATATCAAGAGATATGTTTAAGTTCCTATACTTTTACGTGCTTACTGAATTTGTTGAAGGACCATGCGAGGAACTGTTTAACTCTTTGCTTCAAAGGTCTTTTCTTTTTCATCATTAGTATTTACATGGGGGCAGGATCATATGGGGGTAAAGCCCACCTTTAGTAAAGCTCAGTGGTGCAATCACAGCCCACTGTAGCATCAACCTCCTAGGCTCAAACAATCTTTCCCCTTCATCCCCGCCACAGTAGCTGTGACTATAGGCACTATAGGCATGTGCTACCATGTCCAGCTAATTTTTAAATTTTTTGTAGAGATGGGGCTCACTATGTTGCCCAGGCTGGTCTTGAACTCCTGGGCTCCAGTGACCCTCCTACCTGGGCCTCACAAAGTGTTGGGATTATAGGCAACTGCTCTCAGCCTGGTTAAAGCTTTTGTCATGAGGGATAAGTTAGTGTTTATAAATTCATTAATTTAGACCAATTATGGAGAGGTTAATTTAAAAAGAATAAACTGCAAAATTTTGGAAAGACCTACAATTATGTTACTTTTTAATGTGAGGAGTCCTTCAAGTCATATGTCAGCTAGTTTTGAAAGGTAGAAATCTTATGGAACTCACTTCAATGAATTAATCAGATTTGTTTGCAACTATTATTAAACTATTAAGTTTGCAACTTAGCTTGCTGTTAAGTGCTACTAAAGTGCTAAGGATAAGGTTGTTCTCAAGTTAAATAATTCTCCTGTTAACCTGCTTACACTATTTGTAAAGTTAGACAATTTTTTTCTAGTCTGAAAGGTGGTAAACTTGAGCCAGTTTAGGTTTTGTGAATGTAAATTTTAAGCAAAAAGGCTCAATGCTATTTCTCTCCTTATCTATCTCTATATCTCTAATCTTTCCTTTGGGATCCTGTTGAACTCATAGTACCCAGGGCAGGGCTTGCACTTGATGGCCCTCTGAATAAGCAATCTGCCATTTTAATGTCAAAACTTAACAAGCTTTCTGTTTTCATTTTTGTGTTAAAGGGAGCTGACCCTGCAAATGAAAACCAAGCTAAAAAGATTTTCACTTCCAATGTCTACAAACAGGAGAAGAGAGCACAGATGAAGCCACTTAAGCCTATAAAATCAGGTAAAAGCATATATTCCAATTTCTCAAAAAAAAACCCTGGCAGAATGTTTTGAAACTTCTGCAATTTCAAGCTCAGATAATACTTGTCTCTTATCTCCCAAGTCAGCTTAATGATTTCTCACATGGCTCTTTAATTAGATAGAGATATTAGCTTATTTTAGGAAAATCTTATTATTTTGACTTATACAAGTCCAGTGTATAACTTTCAGAGGGTCTTCCAGTCTTTTGGCTCATCAGAGAAGCTGTCTAAGCTCAAAACTGTGGTCACTCACTGAAATATTCTTCTGGCTGGGTATGCAAGAGGAAAGTACCAAGTCACTTTCCAGTTCATAGCAAAGTGGTATTTTCTCACTTTCTACATCTCCAATGAAACTTTTGAAAATATTTCACTCTAAAGGCCCAATGGTATTAAATTGTTTTAAATTACTTAGTAGGCTTGTTTCAGCTTCTCTGTGTTCTGAGCAGGGATGTGTAAGTGGTGAGGAAATGTTGACAGCTGAGAGGAATACTCCACTGGGATATAATAGAGTGTGATCTCACCAGAAAGAGTTGTGTGCTAGAGAGAATAATTTTTTTCAGCAGGAACAGGGGAGGGGAGGATGGATTTATATTGAACCATCTTTAAGAAATTAGACTAGGACTTCAGGAACCCACTGTCTGGCCATGAAACAGCAGCAGTTGACTTGCTCACAGCTATTAATGGCTTCATGGGCACTATACTACTATCAAGTGTTTCACAACTGTCACTCTGCATCAGAATCACCTGGTGAGCTTTTTAAAAAATTACAGATGGTCCTAGCTCTATTCTTAGAGATTCTAGTTCATTTGCTTCTGGAAACACCATGGGCTTTGGTATTTTTAAAAGAGCCCTAGGTGATTCTAATGTGTAGCCAGGATTGAGAACCACTGGTTGAGTCTAAATCACTAGGTAAATTGACCATAAGCAGGATAAGGGAGGGAGTGGAATTAGGAATAGGGAAAGTAGTCTGCTTGGATGGGGTAGTTGGGTTAGTACAGAATTATTTACCATCAACTTTTACTGCATGCATCTATTGAATCATCAATCAATTTACTTCACATGAAATCATGGATTGGCAAAACACAAATAACATTACCTTATGTGAAATTTTCGAAACTGAGCAGATACGATATGTTTCCTTCTGGTCTCAGTTCTAAGATGTAAGACAATCCAGTAATAACCACCCGAAGATTGGCAGTTACAGCCATAAGTACTACCTCCCAGGCCTTCTGATGCCCAGGGCCCCGTGGCCATAGCCATGTTGATTTTACCCCTTTGACATACCACTCTTGGCATCACACAGGCACTAACTTTTAGAAGTGTGGCAGCAAAGGGAGAAGGGTCTATAAAGCACTAGAGCAGGGGGATCAGAGGAAACCTGAAAGGAAGAAACATTTTAGGACATGCCATAAACAACACACCCCAGTATCTCTGGGGTTCTTTATTGTTGTGTATTATTTTTCTGTGGTTCCAGTTGGATTTGAGGCTCAGAAGACACTACAAATGCCTGCCATGGAAAAAGAAACCGAACAATCTTCAACTGTCCCAGCCAAGTTCCAAGAGCCAGGTGAGCCAGTTGAGCCTGTCTGGTTCTCCCTGGCCAGGAAGAAAGCCGAAGCATGGAGCCATATGGCAGAGACCACAGAATAAAGAGCTCTTGTATGGAGCATCAGCATTTTAAATGATAATTGCTAATAACCGTATTAATTCTATGTAGTGATCTTTTCACTGTGTGACCACTTTTATTAAGCATTTTAAATGATAATTGCTAATAACCATATTAATTCTATGTAGTGATCTTTTCACCGTGTGACCACTTTTATTAAGCATTTTAAATGATAATTGCTAATAACCGTATTAATTCTATGTAGTGATCTTTTCACCGTGTGACCACTTTTATTAAGCATTTTAAATGATAATTGCTAATAACCGTATTAATTCTATGTAGTGATCTTTTCACCGTGTGACCACTTTTATTAAGCAAAATAAGTATTAAGCAAAGTATGAATTTATTAAGCAAAATAAGAATTTATTAAGCAGCACAGCCTTAGAAATGAGAATTAAAACATAATTATTTGAATGAAATAAATGCCATGAATGCTTCAACTTCCATATAGTCACTGCCAGCATCCAGAAACCCAGCATTTTCTCTATTAAAACTATGGGAAACATTTGCACTGCTGTAGAATTTGCAAAGTCTTTAACTTTGGACAATGTGCTTTAGAAGGGATAAAGCAAAAACATTTTGTTGGAGCAACTAAAAAATTGTCATTTCTCTCAGCCAAATAAAGTGATTCTAATGGAAACATTCAGATGATTTGATGCAAAGATTGGCCTTTAGGATTTATGAGCCTAGATGGCTCATAAATGAGGCAGAATGCTAGATGGATGCTGCAATTATTTGGTTGTTGCTCCAAGCTTTGCAAAGGCTCCTAGAAGAGGTGGTAGAAGTGAAAATTCTGGGTCTCCAAGAAAATTTCTGCACAGCCAGTTCTCCAATCAGCCTGCTGCCCCTTGAAACACCTTCCCTGTATCCCTGGGGGCTCCTGATGCTTTCATCTTGAGTGATAGTAACATACAGAGCACTTACACAAAGCTCCCTCTTGGCACATGTCCCATGTCGACCTGTCACAGGCCTGGCTGCAGCACCTCCCTATGAGGCAGAATGCTTCTTGGAAATTATCTTACTCCTCTGTATGGCTAGTCCATCAGTGCTTTGCTTCTTGTCTCAATACTACTGTGACCCCCTCTGATTGCACAGAAATCACTGCCTGTCATATATATCCTGTTAAGCACTGAAGATCCTATTGAAATTAGAGTTCTACAGGTGCCAAAAGCTGTACTTTCCATCAAGCAGATGGCAAGCTTACCACCTTGATGCACATCTGGGGCCACTGGAGCTCCTTCCTCTCTGGTTCCAGCCTTAAGGTGCAGAACTCCATGAAGCTTCTTGTCCTTTCTCCTCAGCTGTCTTTGCTTCACAAGGTTTTAGCCCAAAGCAAGAGTGTAATCTGAAAGCCACAGAGAAATGAACTTTCTGCTAACTGGAAGCTTTGAGTAAATCAGTTTTTTCCCACTCTCATTCCTAGAGGCACACACCTCAAAAGTTACTAGGCTAGAGAGACCCTACCTTCCAGTGACCCACTCATCCCCCAGCCACGGAGAAGAGGGAAGGCCAAAAAGGAAGAGTGAGAAAGAGGATGAGAGGGATGGTCAGCTATGAGGGGAGGGGGCAAGTAGCCCAGCAAATGTTGATGCCTCCGTTTCCATCTTGCCACACAGCCTTTTTCTTTTGCAGCACTGCCTCCATTAACAGCTCCTTGGCTGAGGATGAAGATGTAGGTACTTTTGCCCCAGAGCCGGTTCCTGAATTGGTTGGCTTTCTGATATGCAGACCACCCCAGAATCTCATCTAGGTTCACTAGAAGTTAGTTAAATCTTCCTTTTTATGTCTTTCCCTTCATTCCATCCCCCAAACCCACCAAACACTAAAGGAGAGCTCCCTTTGGATGCCTGGGCAGTATTTTCTAGGAGACCCAGAAGTAACTTCTCAGTATAGTTATGACTGTGTCTGCCTCTGTGACACTGTGCTGCTTTGCTAAACAGAAATGCAGGTTGTCAGAGAAGCAAAATGTTCTTAAGAGGTGGTGCTGCGAATACAGAGCCTCCACACAGGTGTGCCTGACCAAGCTGATGGCCTCTGGGTGGACACTGATATTTGGTATGGGGAAGAAGGGCTATTAGGTTTTTTGTATGAACGCCTGGAGAGCAAAGAGAGCGAATGGAGGGGGATGTGGTTGGGGGGCAAGTGGAGGAGACAAGGTGGTTGGCAGTTGCACGATAGCCTGGGTCAGGGCATCTGACTGTGCCTTTATATTCTGAGTGGGGTGCTGCCCCAAGCAAAAAAAAAAATCCAGAAAGGCACGGAGGTGTCAGAGCTAAACACTTGGTACTGGATTTTGTTGATGCTGGTATAACGTGACATGGTACAATTACATGCTAGATTTTGCATTTTCTCTATATAACATCTATTTTTCCTGATCCTGTGCCTTTGCCGTTTGGATAATGCTAGGTTTTTGACTGAGTGAATTTCACTTCTTTTGTATTCCCATAGTGAACAATATATTAAGGTAGATGCCCTTTATCCCAGTACTCCTGGTAGATTAGCTGTTATACCTCCCTTTCCTTTTTCACAGTGAACCTGTATTCAGTTATTCTCACTCTGAGAACTCTCCAATAACAATTTCTTTTCCACGGTTAACAACAAAGCTCTGTTTTTAAATGAAGAGATTAAGTTCTTTTTAAATGCTGAAAGCACATTCTGACAAATTTTCTACTTCTTTAGCTTTCTTGATTTATGATATATGCAAAGCAAATAAATTCAATAAAGCCTGTTCTGTAGTCCATCTCTGTCTGTGACATGGGGCAGGAAATCAAATAGGATATTGACAACTCAAAGCTGAAGGTTGTCAGAGAAGTAAAATGTTCTTAAGACGTGGTGCTGTGAATACAGAGCCTCCACACAGGTGTGCCTGACCAAGCTGATGGCCTCCGGGTGGACACTGATATTTGGTATGGAGGAGAAGGGCTATTAGGTTTTTTGTATGAATGCCTGGAGAGCAAAGAGAGCGAATGGAGAGGGGTGTGGTTGGGGGGCGAGTGGAGAAGACAAGGTTGTTGGCGGTTGCACGATAGCCTGGGTCAGGGAGAAGTCCAAGTTCTATAGCAAGATGGGCTACTAGAACAAGCACTTTTCAGAAACAAAGGGCCCCACTGTGCTCAGGTAACAAAGCGGCATGGAGGGAGGAAGGGAAAGGGGTTATCAGCTAGATATTGAGCCTGTCCCACCTGTAACATTTCAGGTTTCAGAACAAGAGTTCAACTTGGGATCCACATACCATAGGTCTAAATATTTGAAATGTTTAAATCAACTAACACAACATGTTTTATTTCATGGTTTATCTCCAGTTGGCATTATGACAACTGTACCTTCATAATGACCTCAAAGGCGGGGTTGGGTTCTAGGATTCTGACTCCTGCCCCAGTGGTGTGGGAAGAACTGCTCCCCTTTCCCCTCCCACTTTAGAAATATTTCAGACCTACACAAAATTGTAGAAAACATCACTATAAACATCCATGTATCTATTATTCAGCTTAAGAAATGTAACATTACAAGTACAGTTGATGCCTGCTGTGGAGCCTTCTGTACTTGAATGCCCCTCCCTTTCTTTCCCTGAGAGGTAACCACCGTCTCAAAAGTGCTTGTCTTTTGAATGCACACCTTTCTGTATGCTTCATTTGTATCCATCTCTTACATGCACACCTTTTAGTCTCTCTATATATACCCACGATCAATTTATGGTGATCATTCCTCTGTTTTCTTAGAAGTCATATACATGGTATCATGTTTGTATCCCTTTGGACCGACTTTTTCCTTTATGCATTTTTCCCCTCTAGGCCTCAGCCCCTGTGAGTTCTAGCCTCCTCCCCAGCCCAGCCCTTGCTGTCCCTTTCGGTTTACCTGAAACAGCCCCTAGCCAGTGAATTAAGGCCGGTCTGACAGGAGGTGAAGCACAGCTTCTTCCTCTGTTGCTCGAAACCAGTGGCTCTCCAACCTTAGTGTTCATCAGAAGCCCCTGGGGGACTTGTTAAAACACAGCTTGCTGACCCCACCCCAGATTTTCAGATTCCATAGGTCTTGGGTGGAGTCTGAGAATTCCCAGGTAATGCTGGTGATGCTGTTTGGGGGACCAAACTTGGAGAGCCACTGCTCCAGATCAAAGTCTGGGCCCAAGCTCAGCAATGCCATGTGGCCTCCAGGCAACCTGGGCCATCCATGAAGTTTTCTTCAAAACCATGCTCTAGAGCAGCACTGTCCAATAAACATATAATGTGATCTACATGGGTAATTCTAAATGTTCTAGTAGCCACATTAAAAAACAAAAAGAAACCAACACAAACTTTAATATTTCATTTTATTTAAGTATTATCATTTCAACATGTAACCAGTGTAACAATCATTAGTAAGATATGCAACGTTATTTTCACACTTACAGCACATATTAAATCAGACCAGCCACATTACTAGTGCCTAAAGTAGTTGGCAACACAGCTCTAAAGACTTGAGCCCCATCTCTCTCTCTTCAAAAATTGTTTTAAACTTGACATTTTAATTGATTTTTGGCCATGTTTCAGTTTATTCATTTGAAACAAACTTTTATTTTTAACTTGAACAAATACTGTCAAATACATTCGTGAAAGATAAAACTTAGATGTCACTACATATTACTTTTGAGGTAACACACTTCGGAATAATACGTGTTATAAATTCTCACAGGGATCTGAAAAAAAAGAAAATAAAAACAATGAACAACAGAGTTTTCTTTCTTCATCTTTCTATTCCTCCCAACTGCAGGATGAAATTTAAAAAAAATAAACAATGGTATAACATTAACCAGCACCGACTTTCTAAATAGAAGAAATGGTCAGCTCTGTTTATGTCTGCAATATTTGTGTGCTATGTCTTGAACAAATAGAGAAGAACACCTTTTTGTGTGTGTGTAACTCACAAGCTTAGATATCAGGGTGCTTGTGGAACTGGTTCTAGTCAAATGATCACACCAACCTTGTCTGCCTAGCACCAGAAAAGCTTGTTGCTGTTGTTTTTATGTGAGAAGCAATTCTGGGATTTAAATAAATCTCTCGAGCTTTAACAGCCTGTGCTAGTTCCACAAATGTTACGCCTTTACCCTCCCAGATCCTTGGTTTCCATATCTACCATATGGGAAAGAAGCTGTTATGAAATATACAGCTATGAAAATGCAAAAAGAAAAAGAAAAACTGTTAACCATTGAAATATACTCAAAGACAGATATACCTTAAGACTTAATTACACATATTCTTTTCATTTGTCACATAAAATACAAAAATATAAAGCTAAACAAATATTTAGGTATTAGTCGTTAAATGTGGTCCTACTTGAAATTCTTAGCTTTTTGCTATTGGTAACTAGTCACTTTGTAAAGGGCATTGAGTTGTCTCCTAGTTACTATGGGAGCCTACATTTCTGTGGCTAAGTAATGAAGGCCCAACTAATGTGTGGCCCAGCTAAGTTAGCTGCTGCATCTGGCAGCTGTTGTGTACACAAATATTGGTCTTGGTAGTAGGTCTGATACATTGGCCACTTGCTAATAGTCTTGCAGCTAGAGGAAAAAAGACCCCAACATGAACAAATGAGTAGCCATGAAGTATATTTCAGACCACATTGCAGTTCACATTACTAGGTACATGAATATTCTAGTAACATTTTAAGTAAGTTAAATTGAATTTTTAAACTAATTTAAAACTTTTTCTTAGTTTACTGGGAATTAAAAAAAAATAAAACTTTCAGTAACAGGTAAATGCCAGGAATAGTAGAGTGATTCTGAAAGTCCATCGATGATAGACTGGACTGGGAAAATGTGGCACATATACACCATGGAATATTATGCAGCCATCAAAAACGATGTGTTTGTGTCCTTCGTAGGGACATGGACGAACCTGGAAACCATCATTCTCAGCAAACTGACACAAGAGCAGAAAATCCAACACCGAATGTTCTCACTCATAGGTGGGTGTTGAACAATGAGAACACATGGTCACAGGGAGGGGAGCACTACACACTGGGGTCTGTTGGGGGGAAATAGGGGAGGAACAGTGGGGGATGGGGAGTTGGGGAGAGATAGCATGGGGAGAAATGCCAGATATAGGTGATGGGGAGGAAGGCAGCAAATCACAATGCCACGTGTGTACCTATGCAACAATCTTGCATGTTCTTCCCATGTACCCCAAAACCTAAAATGCAATAAAAAAACCTGAAAGCTATACACACATACCTGGATTTCCTCGGCTTCCCCTCTGCCGCGCCTTTGCAGTTCTTCAACTTGTTTTTTGCATCCTTCTCTTTTCCTTGTTCTTTTTCTTCCTCACCTGCAGCACCCTGGACCTCTTCATCCCACTTTTCATACTGATATTTAGTGACTTCTTTAGTAAAGAATAATACAGATGTTGGGACTAGACATTCACAGAAAATATAGCCAAATTTATAACTAGCATCCAGTACTCCAGCCTCAGGAGCAGGAGGATAGATTTAACTAAGAAAGGAATAGCTAGGCAACTTCCTACTGGTTTTCACAACAGTTCCATGGCCCTCACATTGCTGCCACTTGATCATTTCCACAGTGACACTATTTCCCTTTTTTCCAGTAAATCTTCCACCCAAAACTGCTGATTATTTCTAGTTCTTTGAAGAAAAAGATATCAGAATCATCAGATCTGATCATAATCTAAGTGTTTTGGTCAGAACTTTGTTGGGAAAATATTTGTTGCCTCAAAAGACAAATTCCATGGTGAAGCTCATTGGTTGCTCAACCGCCTGAATGTTTCATTTTTACCAAGGGCTCCTGTATCACTTCATTATTTGGGGGATCAACTTTCTAAGAAAAGCCATGAACCAAAAAGGATGTGTGCCATTTCCCTATTCTTTTCTTTTGGGCGTCCCTTCTATTTCCTGCCGAGCTCCCTCCTAAACTCCTATCTACCTGGCCATTCATCTGTAGGCTTACAAATGGAATCGATGATCTCAGATCTCCTGTCACAGTTTGGTAGAGGGCAGCATGTTTTCTCAAAACCATAGAGGTTGTTAGAGAATTGGGCTTTGACTCATTGGGACACATTCGACCTTAAGTTTCAGGAGGGTCCCGACCCCCACTTCACCACCCACTTCACCAGCTGTGCCCGCACTGCGGCCCTGCCCAGAGCCCTCGGGCGCACGTGTTCCCTCCTCCTCACCACTGCCACTTGCCAGTTCCTCACCCTCGGGGGCCGCGGCCTCCTGTGTGGCTGGTTCCTCTGCAGACTCCTCTGCAGCTGGTTTATCTTCCGGTTCCTCCTCTGTGGCAAGTTTCTTCACCGCCGGTTCCTCTGTGGCTGCTTCTTCTGAGACCAGTGATCTCAGGTGTCCTATCAATGTGGCTGCTTCCTCTGAGACCATAGAGGTCGTTAGAGAATTGGGCTTTGACTCATTGGGACACATTCGGCCTTAACTTTCAGGAGGGCCCCGACCCCCACTTCACCACCCACTTCACCAGCTGTGCCCGCACTGCGGCCCTGCCCAGAGCCCTCGGGCGCACGTGTTCCCTCCTCCTCACCACTGCCACTTGCCAGTTCCTCACCCTCGGGGGCCGCGGCCTCCTGTGTGGCTGGTTCCTCTGCAGACTCCTCTGCAGCTGGTTTATCTTCCGGTTCCTCCTCTGTGGCAAGTTTCTTCGCCGCTGGTTCCTGTGTGGCTGCTTCCTCTGAGACCATAGAGGTCGTTAGAGAATTGGGCTTTGACTCATTGGGACACATTCGGCCTTAACTTTCAGGAGAGCCCCGACCCCCACTTCACCACCTGAGACCCCGACACCGGCTTCACCACCCACTTTACCAGCTGTGCCCACACTGCAACCCTACCCAGAGCCCTCGGGCGTACAGATTCCCACCTCCCCACCAGTGCCGCTAGCCTGTTCCTCACCCTTGGGCACTGCTTCCTCTGCGGGCTCCTCCCCTGAAGGCTTTCCCTCTGCAGCCTCCTCCGCGGGCTCTTCTTCGGGTTCCCTGGCCATCTCGACCAGGTTTGCTGGCACCTCAGGCTCTGGGACCACCTCGGCCTCCTCGATTAGGCCCAGATCATCACTTTCTGGGGCCCTGGCCCCTGCACCCAGCCTCTCAGACACCAGCAGTGGGGGCTCATCAGAGCTGGGCATCACAGGGTGGGGCCCCACCATCAGGCGGCTGCCACGGAACCTGATCAGGATGTGGTCATTGTGATAGATGCGGTGGAGAAAGTTGTGGACCATGTCCAGGAACTGCAAGCGAAAGCCTACTATGGGGTAGTGACGGGCAGCCGCGACCATGCCGAAGTTGTCCTCGTCCTCTTCCTCTTCCTCCTCCTCCTCCCTGTTTTCCTCCTCCTCCTCTTCCTCCTCCTCCACGTTTTCCTCCTCCTCCTCATCTGACTCCGACTCCTCTTCCATCTCCACCTCCACCTCTACCATCCCAATGTAGGATTCCTCCATGGCGCTCCCGCTCCAGAGGGCTGCAGCCAGCTCACCCTCCTCCTCCCTGAGGCCTCCCATGGGCCCTGCATCTCCAGCCACCTCAGCTGTGGGCACCACGTCGCCACTGTTGGGGCCAGAGTCGCCACCCTCCCCATCACCAGCTCCAGCCGCCTCAGCTGTGGGCACCACGTCGCCACTGTTGGGGTCGGAATTACTACTCTCCTGGTTACCAGCTCCGGCCACCTCAATTTGCACTCCCTCCTGGCTCGCCAGGGCCTCCTGGTCCCCTTGGGGTGGGTCTGGATCCCCTGTGGCAGACATGACTGTCAACGCCTCAACTGGGGTGGCGACCAGGCTGAGGTGACGACGGTGAAGATGGTAGCCGCGGCTGAGGGGAGGCGAGAGGCTGGTTGCTGAGGAAATACGAGTCTGTCTCCTTATTGAGGGAATAAAAGTCTGTCTCTGAGGACACCCTAAGGTGGAAGGGCAGGGAGCCAATCCCAAGAAGCCTCCCGCCAAGGCTGGCCTGAGAGGACTTAGACAGGGAGGGAAAGATTCCAGTAGGCAGGTGACAGGGGGCGGAACCGGAAGTGTCTATGAGGGGCTCTCAGCTTTTTCAGTGAGATCTAAGCTCATTTGCTGAAAACTTAAGATTGACATGCTCTGGCCTGAGAGGACTTAGACAAGGCGGGAAGGATTCCGGTAGGCAGGCAACAGGGGGCGGAACCGGAAGTGTCTATGAGGGCCTCTCAGTTTTTTCAGTGAGCTCTAAGCTCATTTGCTGAAAACTCAAGATTGACATGCTCTGGCCTGAGAGGACTTAGACAAGGTGGGAAAGATTCCGGTAGGCAGGCAACAGGGGGCGGAACCGGAAGTGTCTATGAGGGCCTCTCAGTTTTTTCAGTGAGCTCTAAGCTCATTTGCTGAAAACTTAAGATTGACATGCTCTGGCCTGAGATGACTTAGACAAGGCGGGAAAGATTCCGGTAGGCAGGCAACAGGGGGCGGAACCGGAAATGTCTATGAGGGCCTATCAGCTTTTTCAGTGAGCTCTAAGCTCATTTGCTGAAAACTTCAGATTGACATGCTCTGCATCCAATGAATGATCCAGGCCCTTAAGCTTTAGGACAACTCAGAATTCATAACTCTACCTGTTCTTTGAGGCTTTAGTGTCCCGGGCTACCCTTTAGGTCCATACAAGTCCTGCCCTTTTAATTTTACGATTATTAGCAACACTATAGTAGTCCAATGTGGAGGCACTCTGGGTTGGGGAAACTTCTTCTGTAAAGGGCAGAGAGGAAACATTTTAGGTTCTGCAAGGCACAGAAGCAATATCGAGGCTATTATATAATTACTATCACTAAGTAGGTTTCCTTCCTTCCATAGGAACAGATAATCTTCTTTGTACCACAATTCTTTTCTGTATTTGCCTGGTCAGTCCCTCCAATCTTCACCTCCTGCCTAAAGTGATTAACTTTATTCATTAAACAATTTATTTACAAAATTTATTGAGTGCCTTCCATGTACCAATGCCATGCCTCCTTACAACTGTCATTTGTACCTCTTGCTTGATGGCTGATGAAATCCAAAGCAGACTGCTCATGGTTTACATCCTAGTGCCTCTTTCCCCATCATTCCTGTGCCCCTCTTTGGGGTGGAGGTTAGCTAAGATCTCTGGAAGCTGAGCCCTCCCAGCTGCATAGAGTGTCAATGTTCCGATATATTTGCTGAGACTCCAGTTTATACTCAATCATTTCCTCTTCAGTTGCCTTGTCCACTTATCAGTGAGTGTGAAATGCAATGTGATGACTGCTGTCAATCTTGAAGTTTCTAAGGCAAAAAAGTGCACAATAGTAGCTGCTGCTTTCTGCAGGGAGGTAGGACTGGGCACTGGGCTTGCTATGGAGTAAGTTGTTGTCAGGGAGTGAGGCAGACCCTGGGGGAGATGGTTCTGTTGTAGTGGCAGTAAGGTATCTTGCCAATTGTTTCCAAGTCCCTGGGAGGGGGAACTGGTTAGCACAGGCAAATAAAGGAGAAAGGAAAAAGTTGAGTGTGCTTTCAATAAGTGAAGTGAAACTACCTGAAGTGACACTGAGGGAAACTGTCCCCTCAGCTCCCACACTGGGGCTCTCTTCATGGCAAGTACATGAGCCAGAAGTCCATGGATCAATTTCCATAGCCTTGGTTATCTACCTGAGCCTGATGCCTGTAGATGCAGACCGATCCAGGTTGTCACACTCCCTTATCTCTGGTGTGTAGTTGCTGCCTTTCCTTTATCTCTAACTATGCCACCCATGACATCTGATCTTTGCCAAGCCAGGTAATTGGTACAACCCAGGACTTCGGGTTTTCTTAGGGAAAGGTGTTCTCTTTCCCTATTTCCCTTCCCTCTAAGAGTGAACTGAAGTGGCCAAGTCCTTTCCATTTGCAGACCCACCATCAGGGTCAGGGTGGGACAGAGGGAGAGACCTAAAGCCACAATAATCCACAGAGGTTTCCACTTAATGTTGGGATGACAGGGAACACCCCTGGAAGACCAGCCCAAAGAGCTCCTTCACAGCCTGGCTCAAAACTCACCACCTCCAGGCAGCCTCCTTTTCTATATCTGCCCCCCACCACCCTCACCAGAGGCCATCCTGAATGACAGTGATATGTGTGGACATGGTTTAGCTCCTCAAAGCACAGGCCCTTTAGGGGGAAGGTCCAGGCCTGCTTCAAGTTTGTAACACCCACGGTGGCTGCCACAGGGCTCTTCACTAGGTCAGTGTTTGGTAAACGTTTGCTGAATGAATCAAGGGGCTTTGGAATCACTATCACCATGAACAGTGTTTCTCTTCTACCTGCCAAGGGCTTGACTGTCTACAAAGGGCCTTGCAATCCCCTCTTCCTTTCTTTCTTGGGATCATCTCCCTGGCCTCATGTGAGGTTTCTGCTCTTGCGGTCTAGTGTGATTCTGCTGTGAGGCTGGGGACAATGAGGGATCTCACCCCTCAGGGGAGACCCTGCCCCCACCCCCGACATACAGGGAGTGACTTGATCCCTTGCTGGTCTCCTAGTCTACTGGGTCAGGGCCACAGCAGGCTGCGGGTGCTCACCGAAGAGAAACACCAGCGCAGGAGTGCCATCTCCCTCCAGGCGGGGTAGAGCCCACTGTCCTCAAGCCCAGAACTTCCTGCTGATTGTGGAAGCCACGGGAGGAGCAGGGGACAGTCTGGAATGCTGGTCTCCCTTGGAATTTGACCTTGACTCCCACATCCCAAGGGGTCACTGCACAGGCTCTGTGACCTTGAGCACAGCCCCTGGGAACGGAGTTGTATGTCAGGGCTCCATCCTTCCTGTTGAGCAGGAATTGCAGCACCACTGGGCCTGATTCTGGGCAAGTCTGTACCACCGCAGGCTCCTTTTCACTTACAGGCTCACCTAGCTTGTGGGGGTTATGCCTTTCATTGCATGCTCAGTCTTCCTTCCTACACTGAAGTTTGTTCATCATTCTTGGTGACTTTCACATCCACAGGGATGACTCATACCACATCCTGGAATTCCACTTGATCTTTTTTACAGCCTTACATCAGATACTTACCCCCATGATCCTACACTAGCCTTTTCCATCACCAGAAATGGCACCATTTAGAAAATTTCTTCTCTATGGCTACAGTGTTTCAATCCCATCAGATTATTTCCCCAATTTGCTGACCTAACTACTTTTTCACTCTGCCTTCCTACCGTCTTCTTCATTTGCCTCCTTATCCAGTTTAAATTCCCTCCGTGATGTGTTGTTATTATCACAGGCAGAATGCTGGCCTCCTCATCCCCAGAACCCTGTGAATTTGTTAGCTTACCTGGCAGAGGGGAATTAAGGTTGCAGATTAAATTAGTGTTGCTAATCAGTTGACTTTAAGGTAGGAGGATTATTCTGGATTAGCCAGATAGGCCCAATACAATCACAAAGGTCCTTAAAAGTGGGAGAGGGAATTAGAAGAGGGAACCAAAGATATGGCAGCATGAGAAAGACTTGGCCTGATGTTGCTGGCTTTAAAGATGGAGGAAGGGAACTATAAGCCGGTGAATGTGGGCAGGCTCTAGAAGCTGGAAAAGTTAAAGAAATCTCCCCTAGAATCTCCAGAAAGAATACAGCTTTGTCTACACCTTGATTTCAGCTCAACGACACTTCTGACCTCTGAAATTCTAATATTATAAATCTGTACTTTAAGCAACAACAAAGTTTGTGGTAATTTGTTACAGCAGCAATAGGAAACCCACGTCTACTCGCTGTTAAAGCCACTCCACTCCCTTTCTCCTCTTAGCTATCTATCATATCCACTAGGCAAAACCCTAGTTGAACTGCATTATATTACTTTTTCCTTGTCACTAAATGAAGCAGATAGGAATATTCAAAATTGGTTGTCGAAGTTCACTACAAATTTGTGATCATCAGCATGCTCAAGACTGTTTAGGCTGGGTGCGGTGGCTCTCACCTGTAATCCCAGCACTTTCGGAGGCTAAGGCGAGCAGAGCACGAGGTCAGGAGTTCGAGACCAGCCTGACCAATATGATGAAACCCTGTCTCTACTAAAAGTACAAAAATTAGCAGGGCCTGGTGGCAGGCACGTAAAATCCCAGCTCCTTGGGAGGCCAAGGCAGAAGAATTGCTTGGATCCAGGAGGCGGAAGTTGCAGTGAGACGAGATCACGCCACTGTACTCCAGCCTTGATGACAGAGCAAGACTCCATCTTAAAAAAAAAAAAAACAAACTGCTTGATAACCACAGTTTTACTACACTTTCTCTTCACCCCAAATCTTTAACAGTTTTGCCGTTGAAGACCCAAACATTTCTGTTTCTTAGCTTTTACATTTCCAATGATTTGCCATCTACCCTGCCTCATCCACTTACTCTCAGGACCATGCCAAGGATCCCAGACCTTTCTCAATGAAAATATACATCATTTCCAAAGTCTCAAGATTGAAAAATCTTAAGATTTCCATACTCTGACCAGCATCTCTTATTTTTCCAGTTTGGTGCCCTTGCTCCAATTATGGCCCACAATGACCACCATGTGGTTAAAACCATTAGTCACTTTCTATTCTTGGTTTTCTCCATCCTTCAGCAGCAGTTACGCACATTACTTAAACATTCTTTAACATTCCTACCCACATTCTAAACATACCCATACCCGTGCTAAACATTCCTAAGCCATTCCTACCCACATTCCTTAAACAGTTCCTTTCAGGATTTCTGTGGGATTACAGTTTCTTGATTTTTCTCCTCTTTGGCCTCTCTCTACCTCAATCCCCCAAACTGGAGTTTCTCTGGGCTCTGTTGTGGGACTTAGCCTCTCTACATTCCATTCCCTCAGTGATCTAATCTTTGTTTCATGGCCTTGAAGATAACCCAATGACTATAATTTTCAAATTGATATCTCTGTCTCAAACGCCTCTTCCAAGTCAGTAACAAATTTGACTTGGCATCTCCTCTTGAGTATCTCATAGACATCTCCAACTTGAGGTAGCTGAAATGTCATTCTTGATTTGCTCCTCCTCTCTGCTTGTTCTTCCATCTTAGGAAATGGTACTTCTACCCACCAAGTTGCTTTAATTGGAAACCT